ATCCAAGGAAGCCATCAGCCAAATATGAAGATTCTATACCTTTTAGTTCTTTAGAAGAAGTCGTTTGAAGTTTTTGACATATTTGACCCCTGTGACCTTGAAAACAGGTCAAGGTCATTTTCGTTCTCAGACTTTGTAGGGCTCCTACCAACGAAGCTTTCAGCCAAACATCATGACTCTAGGCCTGTTCGTTCTTCAAAAGAAGTTGTTTAAAGGAAAAGTTGACGGATGAGGACGGACAGACGACGGACAGACGCCGGACGCCGCGCCACGGCATAAGCTCACTTGGCACTTCGTGCCAGGTGAGCTAACAACAACAAAAATCAACAACAAAAATCAAGGTTCTTGTTTCTGCCTCCGTGTAAAATTTTAGCCTGTGCTGAATCCAACAGTTTGGCATCGTAGCTTTGGAAGACATCGTCTTTTCCTGAAGATAATCATGAAGAAAACTGTGTTAACAGCTTTTTAGGTCACCTGAGACAAAGTCTCAAGTGACCTATTGCGATCGCCTTTTGTCCGGCGGCGTCTGACGTCCATTGTGCGTCCGTAAACAATTTACATTTTCAACTTCTTCTCCAAAACCCCTGAACCAATTTCAATGAAATTTTGCAGAAACCTTCCATGGCCAAAGGTCAACTTAAATTATGAATTATATGGTCCCCAGCCTCCAGGAGCCTGAGGGGCGGGGCCAAAAAGCGTAAAATTGACTAAAATTTCAAAAATCTTCTTCTCAAGATCCAGATATGGTGGAATCAAATACTCTTCATAGATAGAAGGGTCTTAAGGTGCTTTACTCCTGGGGAGGGGGTAAACTTTAGTTAGTAAACTATAGTTTATATAGGGAAATCACATTTTAGACCAACATTTGTTTAATTGCCATTGGAAGTAATTCAATTTGGGTTAGCATTATCTGTATTGGATAGCAGTTTGATGGTATGCACATATCAGCCCTAACTGACCCCCAGAGGCTGATGGTTGGGGCCAAAAAGGGTTGAATTGACTGAAATTTCAAAATTCTTCTTTTCAAGACCCAGATATGCTAGAATCAAATACTCTTCATAGATGGAAGGGTCTTAAGGTGCTTTACCAAAATTGTGAGTGTCATGACCCTGGGGTCTCATGTTTCCCCCTGGGGAGGGGGTAAACTTTACTATAGTTTACATAGGGAAATCACATTTTGGACCAACATTTGTTTAATTGCCATTGGAAGTAATTCAATTTGGGTTAGCATTATCAGTATTGGATAGCAGTTTGATGGTATGCACATATCAGCCCTGACTGACCCCCCTCCCCCTGGGCTGATGGGTGGGGCCAAANAAATTTGTTATGGTTTATAATGGCAAATGATACTTTGAATATTACATGTTGATAACTTGATTGGAATTATAACCCTAAGTTGACAGTTTGATACTTTGTAAATTTTGAACCGTCCCTACCCCCAAGGGCTGTGGGATTGGGCCCAATGGAGTATGTGTGCTAAAATAAAATTTCCTCATTTTCCTTGTTTAGAATCAGAGGTGCTAGTTTCAAATACTTTTCATTATTTTTTGTCACTTTGAATAATATTTCTGTTCATGTTAAAAACAAAAATCAACTCTCTCTATAAATATATTAGGTGACCGTTAAGGCCCATGGGCCTCTTGTTTATCTTATCTTCAAGTAGTTTTTGGAAATTTTCAGATTTATCTAAGGCAAAGCGTTCACCAGCAGCCATCTTCTGTTGTCGTCCGACAGATCGCTTTCCGGTCTAACTGCATACGCTACGACAAGTTCCGAGGAATTTCCATATAGGCTTTATATAGAAACCGATATTTCACTGGATAACCAGTCTACATGAGTTTTTGAGGACTGGTCAAGTGAATAGGATCCGGCCAATGTGATTGCGAGAAATTTTCGAGTATATAATAAACCCTGTAATATTCTAATGATCAAAAACTTTGTGAGGTTTATCAATACTTTGTTCTTGTGGACATTTTGAATGCGTCAATGATTACTGTAATTGACCAAGTCCAAATTGCCAGTCAGAAGAAAAAAAATCAGGGTGTTATAGTGTGGAAATCTCTGGGAAAAAAGATGTGTGACAAAGTAAGATAGTATACATCCTTAAGTCTCCATGTCACATTAAGGTAGCATACATCCTTAAGTCTCCATGTTACATTTTGGTAGCATTCAACCCAAGTCTCCATGTCACAGTCCGGTATGATACATCCTTAAGTCTCCATGTCAAAGTAAGATAGCATACATCCTTAAGTCTCCATGTCACAGTCAGGTAGCATACATCCTTAAGTCTCCATGTCGTAGTAAGGAAGTCTTCATTCTTTAGTCTCAATGTCACAGTAAAGTAGCATACATCCTTAAGTCTCCATGTCACATTTAGGTAGCATACACCCTTAAGCCTCTATGTCACTGTCAGGTAGGATACACCCTTAAGCCTCTATGTCACTGTCAGGTAGCATACACCCTCAAGTCTCCATGTCACAGTCAGGTAGCATACATCCTTACGTCTCCATTACGATACATCCTTAAATCTACACTTCACAAAATGAAGCATACACCCTTAAGTCTCTGTATAACAGGCGATATATATCTTTCAGTCTTCATGTCATAGTAGGGTAGCATATTTCCTTAAGAAGATTTGAACTTTCAATATGAAGTCACTTTTTGTCTAGAATGTATATTCTGGAATACTGAAATATTTAATAGCATCACAATGGCTGTAGACAAAAAAAGGAGGAGTGATGGAGACTGATCACGACATCAGCACATCTCTGGGAGATATGCAGGCGCTAAAAATATCCAGTGAAAGGAAAACTGTCCATTGAGATAGCTATTTTGTATTGTTTTCACCTATGTTTACAGGTCTGATGATGTCTTTATACTAGATTTTGTATCGTAGCAGGTCCTGACATGAACAGCGAAGTGGAAGGAGAAAGTCATTTTCTCTGATGAGTGATAATATCCCCTATTTCAGAAGCTAATTTCTAGCTGAGTATCGCTCATCTGCCATAATTTTATGCCACAGAGCCTGCGAAATTCAGACTATTGTGAAAGTGGAGATCAGACTAAGAAACTACAAATCTGAATTGTACAGAAAGACATCTAGAAATAATGCCATTTTTTCCAGCTCATTCAATTAGTGGTGTAGTGACTAATCAACTTTGTCAACTATTGATCAGTTAGGCCAATAACCTGATTAATCAACTACAGAATTCATGATCGATTTTAGTCAAAATAAGTGTGTGTAGATATTTTGGGAGTTTTCAGTAGAGTAAGTTATGATTTGATTTTAAGCCTTTCTCTAAGCTAGATTCAAACAAGAGGTAAATAGCGGAAGTATCCCGATATTTATTTCTAGCTGCTATGTTGGCATCATAACTGACTTAATTTAAAGTCTGCTCATGGCTGCTTGGGACTATAAATAACAAATCAAGTTTTTGATTGGAGTGCAAGCAACTTGCAATAACAGTATTTCACGACATATTTCTTTAAAGCGATTATTATTCGATCTTCGGTTAGCTAATGGTAACCAATGATTGATCATGACATTTCAACTGATTCCAATTACTACATTAAATTATATATCCACACATACAATGGGTGGGGAATAGTAACGGAAATCCCAGGATTCTAGCTCTGGTACTTCCTAACTCACAAAAAGTCAGACACTTTTAATTGAATACATTATCGCTGGCAATCGACCAATCTTGATTTGTGTTTTTCACATGATATATAAAGATGAAGGACAATAAGATTTCCATGTTAACTTAAACAAAAACTTTTATTAAAACAATAGTTCATAATTTCATAGATAAATAAAATTGCAAAAACTGTAAAGAAGTTATCACAGTCTAAAAATGGTTGTAATGATTGTAACATACACAATGAATTCCAGTTAATGTAATGCTGCTTATAATCACATTTCAGTTAAGGAAGGCCATATCAATGCATTTTTTGATATGTCAGAATGGCTAGATGTTAAACAACAGTAGAAGAGGTGCATCATGGGTATACAATTGTAGAGTACTAGATTGATTTTTAAAAGTTCTACTAGCCTAACATCATTATAGATATTAAAAAATTTCACTAGCCTAGATACAACAACTACTTATGGGTGACTGGCTAATGAAATTGTACACACTCCCTGCCATTACTGAGCTAGCTTTGTTATTATAAAGAGGGACCATATACATAAACATCTTTAAAAAGTACATACTCTTCATATGTAACTTATTTTACCAATAAATACAGTATTTCTGCTAATGTCACAATTTGTTTAATATCACAGGTCGCTCGCGCTCTTACACATGACATTACTGGAGGAATATCCTGAAATATGTAAAAAAAAATGTAAAACCATCCAGAATTGCTATTGTACTATATAAATCTAATTACTGACACATTCATACATGTAGATACTGTGCTACCTAATAAACAATTAAGTTACAGTAATAAGAACAAGTTTGAGTTAATAAATCTACAAACGGATTCCATCTGAATTTGAAATCAAACGAAATCAACATTTTTTAATGGTCCTTCCTTCAAGACATGTCGTGTATAAACAGAAAAAGAATTAATAAAATTCAAATTAAAACCTGAATACAGTATATATCTGCATGATAAAAGTTGTACCTGTCTAAACCGAGCACCACCAGAGGGGTCAGAGTAGACAGGTTACTGCATAACACTGGTTCAATTTTGGTTAAAACAGATTACACTATATGCCATAGTGTCATTATCAGGTTTTTGATTGGTTGATGAAAGCCATCCTCTTGGTCACCCATTTGTGTTCTTCTTCCATTTTGTGTTCCTTGTAGAACTTAGCCAGGGCCTGGTACCGTTCAATCACATCAAACCCAACCAGTGTCTGCAGCTTATGAAGATCAACAGGACACAGGTGCATGGGTTGTCTGAAGTCCTCGGACAAGTGACCAGATCCGTTCATGCAACAGTCGTAGTAAATGCAATGGTCGATACCGAGCAGATGACCAATTTCGTGGACAAGTAGCTTACAGCTTCGTTGTAAAATCAGTTTTCTCCGCTCTATAGTACTCATGGAGTTGTCACAAGTGATGTCGTACCATTTCTCAATGGAGAAACTAAGAGCTGGATCGTACCTGTTGAAACTGAACATCGCCACACGATGGTTCCCTGCTGCCATTCCCGCTACAAAAAGGTCGGTGTCGTCGCCATAAAGGTCGTACATTGTAAGACCAACCATACAAATAGCATCTGTTGGAATGAGGCTCCTCAGACGTAACAAGGTCTCGTCCAATTTCAACTGTATACGGTTTGTTGGTTGATGAAATCTAGAGTTTATTTCAAACTTTCTTCTCCGGGAACTTGACCTTTTGCCATGAGTTGGCCGATCTTCTGGGTTCTCTGTCCAGAAAATTCTACTATTTTCCTCTTCAAGAGCAATTCCAGGTAATGTGATCACAGGTATGCCGAGATACATCTGAGCAAAATCCATCAAAGTTTTAAAATTGACACAATTTTCACCTGAGAAGTCTCCAAGAGGCAGCAGGTATATTTTACCGTTCGGGTATTTCTCCAAAATGGTTTTACCGTCAGACACAAACTGTTGTAGCATGTACTTCAACTTCCTAGTTGAAAGCCATGGACATTGTTTGAGATAATCACCGTACGATTGTCCATCCTCGTCATACTGTGCAAGCCAATCATCTATATTTGTTGGCTGCGGAATGGGCTGAAAGAATTCAAATCCGTTGGAAGACTGTGGATCCAGTTCTGAGACAATGGGGTGAGACCCAATAGCCTTGATTTTTGCTTGGTCAGAGGGAACTTTGAAACCAACAGCATATGGCACATATCTGCTTTTCTTCTTAGTTTTTTGTTTAGGCATGATTTCAGATGTTAATCCTAAAAAAAAAATAAAAAAAATGGATATACATGTTATATAAAGGCATCTTATGTTCATTAAACACAAATTAAATAATTAAAATCACATTTAACCGTCATCAATTGAAATCATAATACCCTATGTTCATATATTAAAGGTGAATTTTTAGCTGAATTAACCGACAGGCAGTTCCACAGGGGCTAGACACACTGAGATATGAGCTTGTGCAAATAAAGGATTCGTAGTGAAAGGATAACTTTATATATGTAGTTATACTATTACAACTATGACTTATATATTAACATAGCTTATATTTCAAATGTGTCTGGCTCCTGTGTGTAGATATAGTAATTTAAACTATATCGGTTTTGGATGCCTCTCCACAAAGAAAACAACATTTGTTCTCTAATCAGCGTCTTAATAAAGGCTCTACAGAGCTTCCTTTGTTGATAACTCTATGTACACTATGTTAAATAAAGATTATATCATAATATATTACATATATGGGCAAAACAATAAAGAGAATAAAGTATACATAGGTGTTAGCACAAGCACTTGTTCAGACTTATCACTATTTAAAATTTGATTTTTTATATAGGATAGTGAAAGTAGATTCGAAGTGCATTCAACCATAACATACAAAGATGTTACCCAAATGTAGGATTATTACCCATATGCACCGTTGTGCTCAACCTGTACATCCAAACCCAGGGGTATGATATTAAATTAAAATCTGCTTTCCGATATATTGTGACAGCCCTAGAGTATAGCCCAAGCTTCCTCTGGCCCTAACACCAGACTTAAGTCATTTTAACATATAGATGTCTGGTACCAGACCAGACATCTATATGTCAAAATATCTCAAGTCTGGTGTTAGGGTCAGAGGAAACTCGGCATACTGTGATTATGAGTAAACAGTAAACACAACCCACTTACCACAGCTGATCTACGACTGTCAAATGCAAGTCCTGCCAGACGTCTGTCAACCAGTCAACTAACATGTGGCGGCATTGAATTATGCTTTTCACTTAAAATATACGAATGAGTCGTTGACGCCATCGCTATTTTAGTAAACCTTGAAAATTCTGCTGTATTCGCATTGTGCAATGTCCAACCGGAAGTTTACATCGATGTACTAATATTCAAATAGAAAAGTATTTCAAACTCCGGAAAATTATAAGCTTTCCTAACGGGAAAATATTGGTAATGCAGAAAAAAATCCCACTCATATCTTTAAAGTGCATTATTAGTCTCTTATTGCACATCTATCAATGTTTTATGTTTTCCGTCATGCCTTTGTCTTATTTTTTTAAATCTGCACTGCGAAAATATTGAAATTTTCCATTATTGCCTTTAGTTCACTTTAATTACTGTATCATTCTATCGTAATTCGTGAGTATTAAATCGTATCGTTATGCTTTTTGTGAATGCACGTACAATTTGTCAAGCAGTGGCGGATCCAGAGTTTTTTTGTGCTTCTGGAACCCACCCTGACGTGTACATAGATTCAGAAAAGTTTGCTATGCTAATCATTGGAAATCATCCATGGAACCAGAGACGTATTATACGTCTCTGGTGGAATTGCTTGCCAGCTGATAGTCCGAATTATTCTGACGTTTTATCAACTTATTTCATATCGGTCTGTCGTCGTCTTACGACAGACCGATATGAAAAAAGTTGATAAAACGTCAGAATAATTCGGACTAGCCAGCTGAATACTATACCGGATTTTATTTTTAAACTCAATAGTTCAATAGGAACAATGTAATGCATCCCATTCACTAAAGGTCGTTCAGAATATAGGAAAACATCCACATCAGAGATGTTAAAAGACAATCAATTAGATTGGAAAATGCTAATAATTGCAGCGCCAATGTCGATAGCACTTCTTAACTTCAGTTCTCAACGATGAGGAATTCGGACACGTCCTCCTCCCAGAATGTTGAAGTTTTTAACTACAAACAGAATTTAACTAGCTATATATCTAGAGACCTCCAGTCTCAGGATTGCTCGGCGGAAACGTAGTCACGGAACGGAATAGTCACTTTCGAGATAACATTCTTTTGGAGATCTGCTGGAAACGTTTGGTCGATGTTGGCTAAAAGGTAGAGTCCTTGAAAGTGTCTAAATGAGCAGCATCCGTAGACCAAACTCTGCCTGCCTCATTAATGTTTTTCCATAACGCTTGAATGCTTTCTTTCGCCTGAATTATCGTGCCATATACAATTTTAATATGTCTCATTTTAGTTTCTCTTTTGCAGCTACGACGCAATTGGCCGGGCATTCGTTTACGCATTGTTTGTGACGATAAATGCAATTAGGATCTGTGAAAACGCTGTGTCTTCGTCCTGCAAGGCTATATCCAGGGGTTATACGCTCACTTTCGCTCTCTACACCCCTGGAATATGCTATAGCAAAATTGAAGGCTCAGTGTGCAACGAGAAGACGAGAAGACTATTTTGGTACTTTGATGTACATCAAAAGAATCTCGCCTGCCCGACCACGTACGTTGGTTTTCTCCGGATACTCCGGTTTCCTCCCACACTAAGAACCCTCACGCGCTAACATCCGCGCCAACAAGAGTGATTAATATAAATTGAAATAACTTGTTTCATAATTGTTGTAAAATAAATAAAGTTTATATATCACGTTGATTCCATGATGGCTTCTTGACATAAACTCAAGAACGCATATACATCGTAAAAACATCTAATTCCGTGGTAAAACATAACGAAAGATGTGTACCGCTCTTCCTATCGAGTCTTACAATCCAACAAGTTAAATTTCCTCTTACGGGCTGTTGGTACCTCAACGAGAACGCAACCGTCTGGAAGGACAAATTGTTTGCGATCATACCGTATAACGTCTTGCTCTAGCCTTTAAGTCTAAATATTTTATTTTCGCGGAGTCGATCCTAGCATAGGTTATCGATCCCCCGACTTTACCAGGCCTACCATGGCCACTTCCAATCATTTAAAACAGTGAGAGTATATCCTACATGGTTTCTATGTGTATTCTCTTTCGTTTTCTTTCCGAATTTATTATGAGGCCAAACAATTCCTTCTGATCAAATTTAGAAGTGTATAATTTCCAGGCTTGCTTGAATATGTCATCACGGTTAAAAATAATAATAAAAAATGCCCTTGTTGGATGATGTGCTCGAATGATCTTTTCTGTGTCGATCCCCAGCTTCAAACTTTGCTTGTCGCAAAGCAATGGCTTTCCAAAAAGCATTTTAATTAGTTTGTGCTCATTCTGCTAGTAATGTTACTGCTTCGTTTGGCTTAGGTATGACAGCGATCGAACTTCATTGTGTCTTCTGATGTTGAAACAACAATCAGAGTCAGAGAGTCAACGCCATGAGCAAGAATGTAGGCCATAAACTAATACAGGATAGAGCGTAACATGGATAAGTGACGAATGCAATATAGTGACGGGATGAAACAGAAGAAAACTGGTGAGTCGTTGCTCTGAGGGAATAACGTACAAGTAGAAAAAATATAGAAAGAGCACGGAAGAGGACATATTTCATCAATGGTCCATTCCAGTTTATTTAGACTGAAGGTGACCATTTGAAAAAAAAAATTATCGCGTTCTGATGAGGCATATATGGCTGCCTCAAATCGGAGGGTGACCCACTTGATACATAGGTAGCAACGCGGAACGGCATACAGGTGGTTGTGATGAGGAAAAGAACATGGTCGTCTCAAGGCCCAGCTATATCGTAAACGAGGTGTTAAAGGAGTGGGTATAGATACTAAGGAGTGGGTATAGATACTAAGGAGTGGGTATAGATACTAAGGAGTTGTGACAACTATTGCAGCGAATATAAAAAAAAAGAGGGGACACTATAGCTTAATGGTAGGAAACTGAATGTTGCATCATTCCTGAGGAGAAAGAGACATTGCATAATGCACGATCCTCTTGACGGTTGAGGGTAAGATGTTCTTGTTGACATGGAGGCAGATTTATTTATTAACGAATGAGTACGTCATGACATAAAGGAGGTGTCTCAAATTAGTATGACTAAACATGACAGACAGTGTCTGCATGGATGATTGGATTAGTCTTACACTACTAATACAGCACATTCGAGAGCATAACGAAGGAATCGCATCTGGCCTACCCAGTCGAACCAATTAGCTGTCTGTGGGAAACTTCGATACACAATGGCAAAAAATCCATTGAAATTAACCCATTTGCCACTAGGTGTATTATACATGTAGTTGTTATGGGAGTGAGGGAAGCAGGGGGATAGATTTTTGACTAAAAAGGGATCTACCAATCACAACCTCCGACGCGGAGAATCATGGATGAATTAACTAGAACCAGACATGTGCAGACAAACACTGGCGGTAGAAATCGTCTAAGTCGTATCAATTTAAGACAGTGAAATGACGACTCGTGATGGCATCACATGAAAACTGTCACTTTAATTTAAACTCCATTTAAAGACAAATCACACTCCATGGCACTAGGTTCAATGACTCAGCCGAAGAACGCTCCTGAAAACCATAATCACGGTAGAAAAGATAGGCAAGTTTTGGTTGCTAGAAAATAACAACACACAACAAAACAAGGGCCTTCTTCCAAAGTTCATTTGGCATCGGATGTTTACAAGGTTCCTCTGACAACATTAGACGATCTGCGACATATTTAAGCTGTAACTGCAAACTGCATCTGTAGTTGAGGAGACAAGGCGACCAAAGTAATACTCGCAATTACTTTGCAGTATTCTAAAGACAACACGGTCAATAATTCTAGTCCCGACCTGGTCCACAGGAGTTGCATGTTCAGCGAGACATTGCTTATGGGTGACGTATTTCTAAAGGTGAACACAATATTTGCTCTTGAAAGGATTGGAACGGTGCAGGTTCGCGACACGAGACTTGAGAAGGACTACACTAAACCACGGACTTAAACAGCAGTCCTTGCTAATTGCATTAGTCTAATCTAATTCTTTGACTAAAGCAAGGGCAGCTGAAAAGTGGTCATAGGATGCATGGACCAGATGGAAGCTACCAGAGACAAAATTGTGGATCTCGACAGATTTGTGGTTCTATGAACCATAGACAATAAGATTATATTGCAACCAAATTTAGACTAAATTTTGTAAGAAATGTTTATTTTACCAACATCTTAAATTTGAACCTAAGACTACATCATGGTCTCTGGCTAGTTTGTTTAAAGAGCTTTTGGATATTTCTCAAGTGGAAAGAATGAAGAGAATAACAAAGAGGTATCCAAAATGAGTTTCACTCAGATTGAGAAATTTAAACAAGTAGCAACTTAAACACACAGGAAACGAAACTTGGACGTGACAGACAGATGGTGTTACCAAAGAGATACAAATTCAAACATTCCTGCACACATGTATAGTGTGTCGGTTCTAGGCAGATCATAGAGACAGAGATGACAGTATCGTGGCATGAAGTGGCCAATGATATTGGTATATACATGGTATATATTATATTATAACCATCAATAGAATATCCGGAATTAACCGTTTTTGTGTATTATTGTATTCCGTCTCCGTATCTTGTTTCTATGTTTTGTTGTTTGATTTGACCTCCTGTTCCGGAAATAAATGAAAAGTTGAAGAGTGAAGTTGTTTCGATTCATCTCTTAATAATCCTCTCACATCGCAAACCCAGTGCAATATGCATATTGTGAAGTTTGCAGAACACTGTACGTACTCATGGAGCATTGAATAATTGATTATGTGAACTTTAACACAGAGTGTATTTTAATACATGACAGATTATTCCACAGTGGTTTTCTTCATCAGATGTACTTGCACCATAATTGTATGCACATAAGGTTTGAGAAATATAATGACGGCCATTTTGAAACTCTAATGACATAGACCACTGTTATAAATTTTAGTTTGGTCAAATTTGCACATGACAAAATATAAACAGCACAAACCAGAAGTAAATCAATGAATGTAATTTTATTTCTACCTAAAACAACAACTGTGATACAAACAACAGTCTGGAAACAAAAAACTACAATGTCGTACGAAGTATATTAGTGTATATACATTTTAACAAAAGCAGATCCCTCAATAATGGATAAATTATGCTACCTGAATAAAATACAACTTGTTTACAGTTACACAATAAAGAACTCAAAGGTAGGGTCAATATTTGGTCCCCACTTATAAACAAGAAATAACAAATGATTTAATACTAGCCGCTTTCATGATTCACATGGGTCTATTGGTTTATTTTAAACACTATTATCATGAGATAACTACATACCAAAAATATACTTTAGTAATATACCCAAATACCATTATTAAAAATATAGACCAATTTGTTTGCCGCAGTATGCCTGATTGTAATATATGTTTCATATGTTTCCAAACAAAAGGCACATTTTAAGATCACTTCAGATTTAGACACGTATCTATATAATAAATACCATTTATCGTCTAGTTTAATTTGTTTAAAATCAGCATACTTGCAAACTTTCTAAAATTTCCATAGAAGAGATTTTGCGTGCTCAGAATAAAAAACATCAATAAAATGCCCTATAGGGTATAATTACACTTCTAAATGAAGTGGCCATCTTGAATGATTGGGATTTCAGTAATATGGCTTTACTCATGTAGATTTACATAAAATAGCAACCTTGCTTTGCCCTTCTGTGTTAATTAGGACTATAACATGTTATAGGGGTTCAGTAAACTGTCTTTCCCTCACCTTGCTTTGCCCTTCTGTGTTAATTAGGACTATAACATGTTATAGGGGTTCAGTAAACTGTCTTTCCCTCACCTTGCTTTGCCCTTCTGTGTTAATTAGGACTATAACATGTTATAGGGGTTCAGTAAACTGTCTTTCCCTCACCTTGCTTTGCCCTTCTGTGTTAATTAGGACTATAACATGTTATAGGGGTTCAGTAAACTGTCTNCTTTTCATCTGATGGAACCTCTATTTATATACCTAGCCATCCAATGAAATGCCTTCTTTCATTAGCCAATCAAAACTACTCTTACTTCCTAATTACAAAGAAATAACTAAAGCAAGTCTATACTAACGATCATTTATTGAACAATGTAATTAACAAAGAATCAACTGCTTCAATTTTAACAAAAGCAGATCCCTAAATAATGGATAAATTATGCTACCTGAATAAAATACAACTTGTTTACAGTTACACAATAAAGAACTCAAAGGTAGGGTCAATATTTGGTCCCCACTTATAAACAAGAAATAACAAATGATTTAATACTAGCCGCTTTCATGATTCACATGGGTCTATTGGTTTATTTTAAACACTATTATCATGAGATAACTACATACCAAAAATATACTTTAGTAATATACCCAAATACCATTATTAAAAATATAGACCAATTTGTTTGCCGCAGTATGCCTGATTGTAATATATGTTTCATATGTTTCCAAACAAAAGGCACATTTTAAGATCACTTCAGATTTAGACACGTATCTATATAATAAATACCATTTATCGTCTAGTTTAATTTGTTTAAAATCAGCATACTTGCAAACTTTCTAAAATTTCCATAGAAGAGATTTTGCGTGCTCAGAATAAAAAACATCAATAAAATGCCCTATAGGGTATAATTACACTTCTAAATGAAGTGGCCATCTTGAATGATTGGGATTTCAGTAATATGGCTTTACTCATGTAGATTTACATAAAATAGCAACCTTGCTTTGCCCTTCTGTGTTAATTAGGACTATAACATGTTATAGGGGTTCAGTAAACTGTCTTCCCTGTGCATTTGTTCCCAGAACAAAACCCTGAAAGTTTGACCCCATGACAGTAAAGCATTTCGTAATATTCAAAATTGATTGTCAACAATAAACCTAGATACAAACAAAGATAACAATAGATAAAGGAGATTCCTATATGACTATGTATATTATTTAGCACTGAATAATTAGGAAAATAAAACAAAATTTAAATACTGTACATACACTTAATTCAATCATTGTAATAATATTTAAGAATATTAAAAACATAAATACATGTAAAAATCTCATACAATACAACACATAATATCTATATTTCTAATTCATTTTCAGAACGATTCTTTGGTGCACCGGTTATCTACCCTTGGAACTATCAGAGTAGTTATAAATGTTCTCCTCTGTAAAATGCGACATTTTTTCCAGTCTCGTGAACTTTGACCTCATATAAAAGTCCCGATTCCAGATGCTGGGAGAGACTTTTCCAAATGAACACTGCGATATTTTCTGCTGTGCTGTAAAAAAAATAGCAGACATTTTATCATTATTAGGCTGGACACTTTGGTTCCTGGAAAAATTCTGTGGTAATTCAAAAACATTTATCATCCGACACCCCACCACCAAACCAGTCCCCTCACCTATATCTTTTTATTTAACAAGATTAATTCCCATCCATACAGAGATAATTGTGGCTGTTGCTATTGAGGTTTGTATTGGTCAAGTGAAATGTTTGATTCTTATTCTCCTCATCCTAGATAATCCCGTCACGTTCTCTGCACCCCTGGAACATGTCATAGCAAAATTGAAGGCTCAAAGATAGCTGTTTGATTGGTCTCAGGTAAGAAAACCTGACCAATTACTAAGCTGATACCTGTCCTTCGAATATTACAGAGCAGTGACAGCCAGTTAAGTTTTACCGTTATGTGACAGACAGATTCTTTTGATGTACATAAAATGCGTGAACTAGTCTTCTTGTCTCTTCAACAAGGTAGCGCACACTGAGTCTTCAATTTTGCTATCACATATATTCCAGGGGTGCAGAGAGCGTAAGTGAGCTTAACCCCTGGAGTATCGAGGATGAATTCTCCTATGTTTAAGTTCATAAGGAACAAACTTTCAGCTGATTTCCCCCTCCCATATTTTACTTGGAGCAGTCAATACAACAGATGTCAAAGAGCACAAATTGCTTATTACATTTGGACATACCTGACAACATCTTTGAAGTAGGGAACATCTTTATCAACATTTTTGTGGTCCATTACATCCATGATTGCCATCTACAATGAAAATAAACTAGAACACTGACAGGTCAGTAAGGGCCCCGTCTTGTGGCAATATATCCCCCATAATCATCAAGAATGACGCGTTGTTTAATTCCCACAAACATTGCTTCAAAGTGTCATAATGAAATATTCACCAGCAAAAAAATACTAAATTTTACTTTGACCATTGACCGAGTGACCTTGATCTTAAGTCAGTTGACTCTTTGTTAAATTCCGACCAACTTTGCTTCATAAAGTCATAACAAAATGTTTATCAGGGAAAAGATACAAAATTTGACCAAGACCTTTGACACAGTGACCTTGACCTTTGGTCAATTGACTCCTTGTTTAATTCTGAGCAACATTGCTTCAAAGTGTCATACCAAAATGTTCACCAGTGAAAAGATGCAAAATTTGACTGACATTTGAACCTAATGACCTTGACCTTTGACCTTGACTTTTTACCTCAATGAGTATTTTTGTGAACTGAACATCTTGACCAAGTTTCATGTACATCAGCAATTAATACCAAAGTTATCAGCCAGGAACAAAATTTGCGGACGGACGGACAGAAAGAGACAGACAGACAGACAGACAGACAGACAGAGTGATTACTACAGGGCACCCGTATCTCCTATACGGGGCCCTTATAAGTTTTTGATAGTATTTTTATATTTGTTATTGTTAGAATAAAACAAAAAGGCCCAAAGGGCCTATATTGCTCATCAGTTATTCATCTCACATCTGATGACCGTCTAAGTGGGTCAAGATATTTTTTTATTTAAATGGGCTAAATATCATTACTCTTAAACCTTATGGTGCTTTGTTTGAATATTTAAATGGGCTAAATATCATTACTCTTAACCTTATGGTGCTTTGTTGGAATATTTAAATGGGCTAAATATCATCACTCTTAACCTTATGGTTCTTTGTTTAAATACCCTGTACTTTACAGATCTTTGTTGGAAGATTGTGACTTTTCTTCCTAATGTCATCCTCAAAATTGGTCTAGGTTATTCATTTGGACAAAGCTGATTGCCCTTCACACCAGCAAGGAACAGGCCATATATCACTATGCTAGGCATCTGAGTTATGTAGAAGTTGTTTAAGAGATATGAACACACTTTTGACATATGTGACCTTAAAAGTGGGTCAATGTCATTTATTTTTGATCCAACGTCATAAGTAAACCAGATCTTTTGATTTCTAATTTGAGAGATGATTATGACTACTTGTCAATATAAGAAAGTGAAATACTCACATTCATGAACTTTTTCAGATCTGTTAAATTCATCACCATTCCAGTGACTGGATCAACCTAAAAAATACAATAAAAAAGTTTTAGCTGAACGATGGTTAAGTCTTTTCAGCTGGAGTGGGCTTTCAAAATACTTAAACACCCAAATTACCCAGTTTTATGCCCATTCATTTCCACACCAATTGATTCCAAGGTCAAAGGGACCAAGTATGCCTCAAAGGAAATACACTTTAGATCTATATATATATGTGTGTATGGTTAGGGAGGGGAATTCAACTGTTTCAATATTATGATCAAATAACTAAAATTCTCCAGGGAGAGGGGGGGGGGGGAACCCAGCCCATGCTCTTATCCATGTAGCATGTTTGTGTTTGTCTCTACATATCAAGCAAGCACAAAAAAATTGTATCTGGTTGTGATTGGTTATAGGATGGGAATCTCAACTGTTTCCATGCTATGATCCAGGGAATAAGTCTCCAGGGGCAGGGATGGACCCATATATACATCTGCTTGGCATACAAAGAATAATTCAATTATGCTACCATAACTGCCCAAGGTGTCCTGCCATCCCATGGGGACTATAAGTTCTTTGGTTTTAACTGAAAATAGATAAGGCCTCAACCCTATGATTATATAACCGTGCATACAATTTCTGCATATGAAGTGACAAATGCCGCGTGAGGTAGTCTGATCAGTAAGAGCAATAATGTGTTAGTCTGATGTCCAGGGTTCAAATCGCGGTCTAACCCCGCTGATTTGTCTTTACATTCAGAACACTGTTGTTGATTATAGTACATGTGTTTGTTAATATCATCATAATTATTTTTATAAGTCTTGCAAGGTCTGCTTTTCTTTACAGAAATAATTTATCAAAGCTATAGTATAATGCTGAAAGACAGTGTTTCCCACACAGGTACAGGGATCCTTAAATACATTTTTTTTTTAAAGATGTGAGCATCTACTACTTAACACAGCAATAAAGATGCCAGCCTGATTGTTTTTTTATTACTTCCTGTATGGCAGGAATGCAGAGAAGAGAAATACAGATTAGCTGAATATGTATATATATGCTAATATATGCTAATATATACAGCTCTGGACTTATTTGAAAGCAAATTTATCTGTGTATCATTGTTGTAATGTTGAAATACTGTAGTGTGATAAAACTAAACCAGGAATCGTGGTGGATTCACAGGGCTCGGGCCATGAGTGAGTGTCCCATTCCAATACATAGGGACACAGGCAATACATTTTCCAGATTTCTTTTTTTTTTCAAGGGACATGATTTTTCCACTTAAATAAAAGTTCAAAATTAATGGGGGAAACTTCTACTTTTACTGAAGAAAAAGTAGATTTTTTAAAATTTGAATAATAGATAGAAGTGTTATATTTATGTTATTTCTCAAAGAGACAAAAGTGTTTTTTCCCAGTTTACCTAGAAAATCCCCCAATTTCGATTTTTTCTACCAGACAAAAAGTAGCAAAGCTTTCAACAGAAATGGCTGTATTTAAAGTAACAGCGACATTGACCTTTGACCTTCAGACCTGTAAAGCAATCCCAAGCAAGCACTATTTGTAAGAAAGCACCGTATGAAGTCAGAGTTCGTTGAACCTAAAGAAACTCTAGTTATTGCAAGGAAACAGATTTTCTATGTATAGTAACATTGACCTTGACCTTTGATCTTTGGACCTGAAAAGCAATCCCAAGCAAGCACTTTTAGTAAGGAAGCACTGTATGAAATCTGAGTTCAATCAACCTAAGGGAATTCAAGTTATTGCATGGAAACCTTGTTACGGAGGTCATGCAACTGACGACGACGACGATGACACTGCCGCCAAAGTCATACCTATATACACAAAAACTGCTGTTACATCTCCAAACAGAAGTAATAGTTTTATTCCACCTAAATATCACTGAATATTTGCAGTTTATTTTAATCTAATATGTATATTTAAGGGGTCCCTGTCCAACTGTACTGTAGTTCTTCATACCTATATATCGTTTTGGATATAGCTGTAGCACAGTTGGGCCTGACCAGGTAGCTCAGTCAGGTAAAGGGATATTATAATATTATAACCTGAAGTCCAGGATTTGAATCCTGGTCTAGCCTAGGGCTGTCGTTGACAGATACAATATTGATATCACATCGATAAAAACTTGTTTGATACGATATCGATACAATTTTAGCATATCAATACTGGTCTGTATAAAAAATTATCATTAAATTTGTAAAAAATATGTATACAAATATATTTCCATTTAAACACAATAGTTGTATGAAAATTTCAGGTTCTTAAATATAGATTGTTGAAATCGAAAATGTTTACTCTTATATTTCATTTAGATATAAACACAATTATATAGAACTGACACTAAACCATAGACACTCATCTCGACTCAATCAACATTATCTGCCATCAATATTGTGATACATTTTTTCTCATCAATGACCGCCCATGTCTAGCCCCAGTGGATTTGTTCACACTCGGAACACTGTTGCTGATTATAGAAATCTAATTTGTTTATTTCATCTGTATTATTTTTCATCGAAATCCCGTAAGATATGGTTTTCATTTCAAAAATGATTTATCAAAGATACAGCCATGCTGGACTCGACAGTTTCCTATGTGTAGTTACAGTTTTTGACAGTGGTACAAGGATCCTTATCAAATAAACAGTTTTAAGGTACACCATTTGTTTTAGACGCTTTTTTGCTAATGATAATAATATTCCATAGGTTATAGTATGTGAAATACAAATGAATTGTAACACTGTCCTCCTGACCAGTTTCATAATTTTATTTAATTGCATTTACTAACATCAGTCTAACTACTGAACTTAACTTAGGTTTTAGCATGAATAGTATGTATGCACTATATACACCCATTATTAAATCGTCATACTTCACTGATAAGGGAAGTTAGGTCACAAGTATACTTGAAAGATAATGATTTACAGATGCCAATATATACACTCATTTAAAGGACTAGACCCAGGTAAATACACTGACATCATATCTACCTAGTAAGTTATTGCATAACACGGATGACTGTACAGGGCTGGAAATCCATCTCTGTCACGTTGGATAATATGGTCAACTCCCTTCTTATCTTATTTCAAACATGTAAACTGGACTAAATTTGCAGAGACTCCCCATTTGATGATGTCTGGTCGTCTCTTCTTTTGAATTTCTATTACTCTGATGGCCAGACTAGTGAATTCCACATAGGAATCCATAAAAATTGGGTACACAGATCTTCACTGAACATTCACTAGCAGACATTGGATCTCATTTTTCCTTGTAATATCTCAATTAGTTTCATGCAAATGGAAGTGCCGAAAAAAATTGAACTTTCAGAACCCCAGTAGCCACAGAACTTCGGCATACACTGGACACAGCAATTAATTCTCAACAAACTTTGTTGTTGGCCTGGGTTTTTTTGCTACACTATAAATAATGAAATGGACATATTCAGTGAAAAGCATGAAAATCATGTAATATAAAATAAATGTTTTTAATACTTACTGGACCTCGCAGAATCACCTCCACTGAAATACAATAAAACCAGTTATAATGAACACAGTTTTGTTTAAATATATTCATTCAATTATGAATAAGAGAAAGAAAAAGAAAAGAATATCTCTGCACAGTGTCATATACTCTTGGTCATTACATAAATCGACATAGAAACCTGCCTTTTCTAGAGCACCTGACCGTCATTTATATCGTTACTTATTTAACAAAAGTGTATGTTTATATGATTTTCCAGTATATTTTTCTCGTAAGTGACCCTAATAGGCTTCCATAAAGGAGTAGCCCAAGTTTCCTCTGGCCCTAACACCAGACTTATAGACATCTAAGATCTATCTGTCAAAATGTCTAAGTCTGGTGTTAGGGCCAGAGGAAAATCAGGCTAGTTTAAACAAAAAAATGACTCCAAATAAAACCTTACAATGATCGATATGGCAGTTTAAAATTGATGCCCTCATACAATGGCTTGTAGATCAATATTGAGTCAGTTCAATTTTCAGCATGTAAATCATAATTATTGATTTATTCCTTTAATGTTATACAATGGTAAATTGTACCTGAGTAATTATGTCCATGGCCATACGGGTTGTTACATTTTCCAAATATCTTTCTATTTTCTTCGTCACTTAGCTGTGTGCTAGGAACAAGAAAAACATACAATTTAATGTAACAAATATACATATAAATTTCAAAGAAAGCTATTAGAATGTCCATCCAGACTTAATACTTTGATTTCAATCCTTGCAAATTGCATTCGTTTGGTTCTTTGGAAATTGGTGCCATGACCAGGATTTAGTGAAAAGTTTTTTTTTTTTTCTATTGAACAAAGTACATACATACAGATATAAAGTATGTCGGTCATACCAATTATGAAAAAAAGGAAAACATTTATTTGACATTTTAGATTTGATTAACCCAAAATCTTTCTAACACTGATAGCAACTGAGATCATATCTTGGGACTGGAAATCTGGTCCAGTTTTAGAACTATACCACTTACAGTTTTTGCTTTACTCAGGGTATGTGCAATCAAGTCATGAGTTCAGAAATCTTTTATTCTTGGTCCATTGCATTGTTTCTTTTTTTGTTTGCTTTCCTTCTTACAAATTGGTGCTGTGACCAAGATTCTAGTTTGAAATTTTTTGTTTTTTGTTTTACTGGACATACAAACACCATGACACACAATAACCATGTTTTGGAAAATAAATAATGACTTTTTGACATTCATTATTTAAACCAAAGAATTCCTAAATCTGAATAAATGAGTTACCTGGTCACTGAAAATGGAACCAGTAAAAGAACACCACAACCCAGTTTTTTTCCATTACAGTAAATTGAGAGTATGTCTATAGTTCAGAATTCTTTGATTTCAAACCCGGTCTATTGCACTTTATCAACCTGTTACAAATTGATTCTGTGGATTTTGTTTAAAATTCATTTCTGTTGTACATGGTATATGCACAGTACAAAATGTTATGTTCAGTGGTAAGACTTTTTGATTTCTTTAATTTTCCCACTGTCTTTTTATGCCAATATACTTCATTTAGTTTACATTTACTGTTAATGCTGAAAAAAAAATATCTGTAGGGAATTTCAGTTAAGGAAATTCTTTTAGCTTAAAGATGTTTTAACAAATCAAAGCAAAGTGAACCTGGGAATAAATATACCCATGAAAAAACCCCAGTAATTGTTATCAATTATAATACAAGTGCCAGCTGATTTCTAATGTTAAAGGATCCTTGTCCATCCTCAGGCAAAACACTAGAGACTATTATTCCACTGTAGCATATGATCCAGTAATCTCTCTTCAATTTCCTTTTTTATTTTCAAGTTATTCAGAGTTAAGCTTTAGAAAAAAAAATAAACACAGTTATAATATATAGTGATCTGAGTTACTGAAAAAAATCAGCATCAACAATTTCAAATGAAATAGATTTATATACATACAATTGTACATATAAATAGATCACACTCATTATCCACAACATAGTATACCTATATAGAAAGTGAAGTTGTGTCTCATTTTTGTTTGTAACAATGATCCAATTAGAAATGTCTTCATGATCAGAGCACATTTTGTTGAGGTTTTTTTTCAAATAAAAATTTCTAATTCTAAGCGTCTAATAAAGTCAATGGACCATGGAATACAGTTCACACTCAGCATCCGCAGCTTATAATGCAGATTGTGACAGATGCAATGTGTCATCTGTCACTATAAGCTTAGGATGAATGCCCTAGCTAGCACATAAACCTTTTAAAGTATTGTTTACCTCTATATTAAACGAATGTTTAACATTGGAGGTAAATGTGCTTCTTCGTCCGAGACACAATCAAGCCCTATAACAGGGAGACAGAACAAAACATTCAGCTTAGTGCGCTCGTTTGTCTGTGACACAAATACTGCAACCACAGGTGTTTGCATTTTTTTTATAACTCAATTTACGGTCAGAATTTCAAACACCTGTGCTGTAAACACTCACCTGTGTAACCTATGACAGGCAGAAAATGATTCTGTTCTACTGATATAAACAATTGGACTTTTCTGCTGTATTGTTCCATTCATCTTGAAACACGTGTTCTGTTGTCCAACGATTTAGGAAAGATAAAAAAACCTACTGGCTATGCAGACTTGACATTTACAGCTCATTATTTTCGTCTGCAGGAATTCCTTTAATGTAACGCCAGATTTGATTGGTTGAAATTATATATGCTCACCCTATTTCCGGTATTCCCCGGATTGACTTCCGCGATGGTTTTGTTTGGGTTGCTGCTGTCATAGTCGTGGGAATCCTGATGGATTTGACGTCTTTCGGGCTTAACTGGGCTGTAATAACTCTTTTGGCTCTTTCAGGTCTTCTTTGTATCGACACAGCAACTAATGGTATATACCTCTTTGTTCATAACACTGTCCAGGCACAGGGGCACGCAACTAACGTTACTATTAAATTTCATCTTGATAGACTTTCTGTGTACGTTATATCTCAATACATTGGGATATAACGTACCCAGCTGAGTGTAACAAGTTCAAAATGAATAGTAGTTGTATGCCCCTGTGTTCCAGATGAACAATTGTGTAAAAACTGTACTGTTAAAATGTCCATTTTGATTTAGGTAACTTTGATATTTTTATAGTTTGAAAACATAGGTTGAGTTCAATTTTACCCCTATTTTATCCATATTATAATAGTCTAGGCAACTTTACATTATATTTACGACCCCATTTTCTATTGTGATCATTTTGTATCATTAATTGTCCATGTACGTTTGTCATCGTTTACATTTGCTATTTGAAGAGAGGAGCAGGGTGGGTGATGATGATGACGAGACATTTTTTAATAGAGCTACAAGCTACCAAGTCTGTCTTTGGAAAAAACTAGAAATGACCGCCACGACAGATCATGCATGATGTTATCTCAATTATCCGTGTTTATATATGGCCTGCATGGCCAAATATAGTATACCACAATTTCCATATATTGGGTGATCATGACACCTATATATAGACGTCTGACCTAGAAAGACCAAGTTTCCAACATGTATGGGTAGAACATGCTGGATGACATTTATGTGACCTTGACCTTTGACCTCTGTAACATTGTTTTTAAAAGTGTGAAATGGTGCAATTGTGCACAACACGATGGTTTCTATTTTTGAAAGCTTTGAAGAGAAAGATTGCATCATAGGAATTACTGCATTGTACATAAATATTTATGTAAATTTTGTTATTTTAGAAAATAGTGCAGGTCCCACACCATCCTCGCCTGTAGAAAATGGTGCTTCATCTCAACAGCAACTAAATGTTACAAATTCTGTTGGGCCATCTTCAGAAGACCAAGTTTCTTCTGGGAATCAAAATGAGTTCTGCCCTGATGGAGTCGAGTGTCACAAACTAGGAGCCGAATGCATTAACTGTAACCTCAACACAAACTGCCAGTATGGAAGTAAAGAGACGGCTCAGTGCACTGTGAAGAGTGAAATTGATTGTACAGTAAGTTTTGTTTTTGCCATTCTGTTGCCTTTAGTATACAAAGTTAAACTAATCAATAGATAAAGATGACCATGACAACGTTTGATGAGTCGTCATCAGAACAAATTTTAAATATAAGCAGTTAGGAATAATGTAAAAAAGGCGTTGCCTTACTTACTGACAGTCACAACAAAGCTAATATAAAGGACGTAATACCTAGAGGGGTGATGTTCTTTGGTTGTCTAACCTGAGGCTCTGCCAAGGGTTAGACAACCAAAAAAATCGCCCTGAGGGTTGGAGATTTCTCTGTTACACTCTCACAGTAGGGGATGATTATTTTTCTCCCATCCTATTATTTTAGTCACAGCTCCAACGACAGTAGTCTGCCATGTTTGTAAACAAAAACACATTTGGGGTATGCATATACTGTCATTCACTTTTGATGACGTCACAATTACCAATGATGCATTTCAATGACGTCCCAATTGAACCCGTGCTAATCGGCACGAGGCTATCTCCCCCTAGGGGGTGACAAGCTGATCTTTCCCGGCTAAAACGGGAGACACACCTGTGAAGGGTGGGAGAAATGTCACTCTATGGCTTAACCGATCGCTTTGATGTATTGCGACCAACTTCAAAATGCAAGGGTCCCATTCCTGATGTGCTAATCTTCTCTAAACCCTTGGAAAATGTTTTGACAAAACCACTGGCACTTAACACAACACCTCACAGATTATATAAATAGACTGATGTCTTTGATGTAGACCAAAGGAATCAAATTGCAGCCTAATGGCAGAATTGTGGCTTTGAAGTTTGGTGTCGCTTCTCATAATCTTTAAAGGACACATGTCAGCCTAGCAATTGGTCAGGTTCTTTTTACCTTAAACTAATAAAATAGCTTATGATGAGCCTTCACTTTTGTCATGACACATTCCAGGGGTGCAGAGAGGATATGGTTATTTAGAGAGGAACACTTGACTTGGGAGTTTTATAATGTAGAGAGACATGCTCATTTTACTTTAATGAGAAATATTACAAGCATTTTTGAATATTGCAGGGGGAAAGGACATTTAGCCTTCAGTATGACTGTAAATACTGCTACCAGGTGGACCCCTCGTTGTATACATGTAACTCCTCTAAGTCCTCTTCCACTTGTACGGTCGTCACGGCGCCCAGCCAGACATTCATCGCCAAGTGTCAGGTGAAGAGCGAGATCATCTGCTTGGGTAAGGGGACATAACTCTTGTCATTTTTCAGTCTTTCCTAAACATAGGGATTTTTCTTCAATGATTCAGATTACTATCTTGAAAACAATCCTTCTTGTTGAAGCATTTAAAAAAAAAAATAACAGTAAAAAATGAATCAGCTGAAAATTGCAGTTTTCATTCCAATGGATGATTTCATATATTCCAAAGTTAGTATTATAATTGAAGCATGTTGATAAAAAAGCATAAACTGAAAATTACAGTATTCAGTAGTGTATAGGATATTTTCAAATACTCCCAAAGTATCATAAGAAAATGTCTTCCTGATTTAAAATGGTTGCTTGCCGTGTTGGTTTAGCTGTCCAACTAGTTATAAAATAATGCTGGTTTCATGGTGTTTGCATCTGGTACTCAACATCTTTTACAAAATGACTTGCTCCAATGCTGTATTTCATGTAACACCAAAACTGGATCTAAGCCAAGTGGCAAATGTTACAAGATATAACTAACCACACAACTAAGAAACATCAAATGGCGAAAATACATTCAGAAAGACATGAACATTGAACAAATTCAATTCAATACATATAGTGTATTCACATTTTCAATTTATAGTTATATATTAGTGATCTGAATACCATATTCCATGATATTTGTGTCTGTATTGTCAATGCAAGTTACCCAGAATAGTCCTGAAAGAGCATAATGTTATAAAGTGCCAGAGTTAACACTGTTTTGTACATTGAATTAAAATGAAATTGTGAGCAAACATCATTATTAAGGGACTTCTATCGCTTTCAAGGTTTGAAAAAACTGGAGGTTCCCTCTAAAATAGGAGATTTGAAATTTCTTACAAACATGCATGTATCACTTTACAGGTAAAAGACAATTTCATAAGTCTCTCCCATGTAACTGGACAAGTGGATACAAATGGTCTACTGCTTTACTACTCAGGTGAGAAACACTCTTCTGCTTGTCTGCTGGAAAACAAGGAATATTCATGTTGGTAATTTCATCCATTATATCTGAAATCATTTAGCATACCTTTTTTCTGTAGACAGTATTTGGGAGACCTTACGTTTTTGCAGCTATTTTTTACTAAAGTTATTTTTTCAGTCACAACTCCACCGACAGTAGTCTGCCATGTTTGTAAACAAGAACACATGTGGGGTATGCATATCGTCATTCACTTTTGATGACGTCACAATTACCGGTGACACATTTTAATGGCGTCACAATTGAACATGTGCTAATCGGCACGAGGCTATCTCCCCCTAGGGGGTGACAAGCCAATCTTTCCCGGTTAAAACGGGAGGCACACCTGTGAAGGGGGGCAGGGGGGAAGAAAGTATGGTGAACATAAATCTTTTGCAATAATGATGTAAGTTAGACTTGCATTTGTATATGCAAACAATCCTGATTATGATGTTAAGAAATGTAGAGTGATTTTTATGAAATTCATTTGAAAGGTTTTGTCAGGAATGCATGGATAAGTCAATTATTATATTTTATTAGATTCTACAGCTCTGACCTTGAACTTGAATGTATAACCGTGACCTTCAACTGGTCTGAATAGATAGATGGTGGAAATGCTTATGTGAAAGGACTTGAAACTTATGTACATAAGTGTGGTTCATGAACTAAGACAAGTCTACCATTTCACACGCAGGCGCAAGGCAGTTAGGTCAGCTATGGTCAGTTTCAGCCACGTGACCTGGTGGTCAAGTACAGTCAGTGATTGGTCAGTTCAGTCACGTGACTCAGTCTTTGTTTGGGTCAGTTTCAGCAGCCTGTTTGCAGTAGATTTGTGTGTCTGATTATTTCGTGACCCACCGCCCTCCCCAACCAACCAACCACAAGACTATTTCAGGTGATGCCTGGGGATATAATGGCTGTTTATAATAAGGCATTTATGTGAGTTAACACTTGTTTCCGAGCATGGAAAATCACACCTCCCCCTTCCATTAAGGAAGTTAGGGATGGTGGCCCGCTCTGCAGCAAGTTCCTTTAAACATTCTATTCTTTAAACTTGTTTCAAAGGGGCAGTTTCTCATTTTGTAATTCGTAATCCCCCAAGAATTTTATTCCGGGGTACATATATGTTTCTTTCATACATTGCCCAGTCAACAGCTATAATACAGCTGGCCGGGTACATACATGAAAGTATTAGTAGTAGTATCACAGCTGTTATATCCCCTTAGCCCATATATGTAGGTAAAATGTTTTCGTAATAAATTATTATTTGCTTATAATCTCAATCTGCCTTTGAGTCTTTTGTTCATAAATAAGGTGAAGGGTCATTTCTGGCCTCATCGGATATTTAAGTTTAGTTGTTATACTCGTCATCTGGAATAGTACGCAAATAATTTCAAATTCATTAGACAACCATTTTAGGATATATGGGATTACAAAGAGAGACTTAAATGTGCATTTCCATGGTAAAATGCATAAATATCATCTGTTGTGCGATAGTTGGTTAAAAATTGGCCGTTTTGAAGGAAATTAACTAAACGCTCTTCTGTTTTTGGAAGCCTTCACATGCAACAAACAAATAAATATTTGACATGCTTAAACATTGTTATACCAGTGTTCATTCTTAGAAAGGAATTTTTGTTTGTCACATGCAGATGCTTTCATTTCTGCATGTTAACTGTTCAGAAACAACATATTTTGCCCATTTCTGCACAGCAACGCAGTTCGTTGCTATGGTAGGGCATCTTCACATGCAATTTGGAAAAAATCTACACCAAGAAACAAAGCCCCAATTAACCAATATGATGTTTATAGCAGAAATTGGCAAATAAATTCAAGTTGAAATTTTCAATTTTTATGAGACCAAAAATAACCCATAGTGCCCCAAGTCCTTTCATGAAAGTTTTATGGAAACTTTAATCAAGAACCTGCGGACACGCCAAATGTTAAGAAACAGATGGATGAATGGAAGAGTAAATGACTTTGACCTACATATTCTTCATTTCATTCTTAACTTTGTTTTCAGTGTGACACTTGGTGACCTACATATACTTCATTCAATTATTTTCTTTGCTTTCAGTGTGACACTAGGTGGTTTTGGTGTAGACCGGTTCTACCTTGGACTTTGGAGAGAGGGGATCGGAAAACTATTTAGCTTTGGTGGTCTTGGTGTGTGGACTCTAGTGGATGTGATCCTCATTGCCATAGGCTATGTGGGCCCTTCAGATGGATCGCTGTACATATGATACTACATATTATAACCAGCAATTTCTAAAAAGACCAACTTTCCAAAGCTGGATTGGGTTAATAATCTCAGATTCAAATGTCATCATTGCTGCACATGAAATAATTGATGAAATATTCTGATAACATTTTGGTTGCTTTAGGGCCACTTTTGTTGATCATGTCCAAATTGTCAGACAATTTCAGTTTTCTACGACTGTAACATATATATAGGTCAGCCCTAATTTATCCCTTTAAATATTACATTTAAAAGTAGAAAAACAGGCTGTCGGAGTAGAATATATTCCAAATATGCAATATAGGTTCAAAGTATTGTAAAAAGTGAAGAAAAAAAATCATTCACTTTTTGTGTAGACTATAGATATGAACTACAGCTGCTGGACACACAAAAGCATACTGGTTCAGATATCTTGGATTCAGGAAGAGAATTCTTGTGTTGTTGAATTGAGGAATGTGGAGATGATTATTTAAATGTCTGGACTAACAAGGTTACACTGTATGTTTGAAGAAGAGTGTAAGTGAGTGAGAAATATTTTGTACAGAATGGAGAGAAGAGTGATTGACTGTGCAGAATATGAGAGGTGACTTTAGGGTAAAAGTTAACAGTGTCTGATATAAATGATTTTTTTCTGATACTTTAACAATAAAAAATCATTATCTGTTACACGCTATGAAAAACTAAAAGTATATTTCATGTTTCAAAAACTACAAAGTTAGGCAAATGTATTTTTGTATGGGTACTCCAGAACAAAGATGTCCTTACCACTGTTAGACCGATCAATTTTAAGAGTTGGAATACAATTTTCATAATAGGAAAAGTATTTGGGTATTGGTACCAATATAAGTATACTATTTTCATTTTTCCTCAATACTACCGGTAAGAAAAAAATCAGCTCTGATGATGCTTTAATACGAAGTTGCTTGAAAAGATTTTTTAAGTTGTTACAAAAGTTTTTGGTGGTCAGGTATATATGATGGTAACTTAGATAATTTTGTGATGCTGTTTCTGATGGGTCAATCTCCTTTTACTAAAATGCAAGCCAGTGAAGCACGTTACAACTTCGAGTTGTTAATTTTATTTTGTAATTTATGTGCATGTGTGTATGAATAAGGGACAATGTATGGAAAATATATGAAAATGTGTGGAAAGTTTTGTGAATATTTGAAATAATAAATTACATTGTCATGTGAACTACCATTATAGCGTTTGTTATCATTCATTCTAGATATCAAGATTTCTAAATGAGATCTCCGCTTTATACAGAGAGTTAAGGCCCTTCATTCACTTGGTATCACTTTGTCCTAGGCTGCATTCGTAAATCCCGATCCAAACAGTTTAACTGGTTGGACCAGAGTCGTTTGTTTATGAAATAAGGTGGGACCTAGTAATCTGATGCTGATTTCAGGCGAGCCTCGACAAAGCCCTGCAAGGCCTGCATAAACATTTGCATGTCCACCAGGATTTATACCCCGAAAATGTTACATTTAAAAACAGACAAACCGGTTGAACCGGATATGCAAATGCGACCCAAGGTACATCATATACTCTTGTTTACTACCTACAATTGCCAAATTTTGCTTAATAGTACTGGTTGATCTTATAGCCTTTGATATGTTGTGTTACGGCCCCTTGGTTACTTAGTCAGAGAAAAAACTCACATACTCCGTCACCATGTACCATTGCCAAACTATGTAAGACATAACTCATATACTCTTGTCACCATGTACCATTGCCAAACTATGTGAGACATAACTCACATACTCTGTCACCATGTACCATTGCCAAACTATGTAAGAGAGTACCGCTTGGGATGACAGAGCTTATCTTACTGAAATTAGGTCTCGTGCTGCACGCTATACAGAGTTATGGCCCTCGTCCATTTTTGATACCGAAGTTTGGAGTGCAGATACTGGATTGCGGGTGTGGCAGATTTAATTGTACATAGGGTTATGGTTGCCTTCTAGCTTCACGCTAGAGGGAATTTCCCTTAAGCTCAGTGGAGGAGCGTACGACTAGGATCGCAGGGTCAATCCCTAGTGGGAGCACACTACTCTCTTTCCTGTTACACTTGCAATACTTTGCCTTTGTTAGAATTAAAAAGAAAGATTAAAAATTACAACTCGGACCAGCTTGCTGCAATATGTTATTTCTTGCAAACTTTAAATAATGGAGATCAATCAAACTACCATTGCTTGCGTAGGACACCGTATGGTTTTATTTGAAGATGGAACTTTCAATAAACTAGGCCCTTTGGGGTTATCACGGGAAAAACTAGTTAAGTTTGATATAAAGTATAAACAATAACTTCAACTTTTTTATAATGTGTAAGAACTTTATTGCACTGCCCTTTCATACAAACATCTTTTCCTACCTTTAAGCATTCTGCAACACGAATTGATAGGAAATGTGTCAATTACTACAAAGAACTCTACAGGAGGACAACTGAAAACAGTAACATGACCTGTTATAACAATGAACAACTTTCTACAATAACACACCAGATTGTTCAATGTATGTCTTGTTGAAATGGTTTCCATGAATATGGTCGTGTACCCAGATTCAACCAGAACCAAAAACATTGACTATATTTCATATATCACCAGCTTACAGTTTTTCAATATATATATATACATAAGTGAAGGAACTTCAAGATGAAGAACTAGTAGATCTTTCTTGCATTTTCCATAAGATCAGCACTGTCATTTCCCCGGTTTTAATATAATTTCAGTGCCCAACATATGGAATGAAAATTCATGTACATGTACTGAACATAGTTTTGAGAAACAACAAAAATTAATTTTGCTTTGGTAAACTATATCAGATTGATCCATTTTGAATTCCATACACAACGATGTGAGAAAATATCAATTTGTTTTGCTGTCAAAAAGATTTGAGATCACAAATTCAATACATAATATAAGTAACGTCCCCTTTCTTATTGTAAACAAAATTATAACTGTGTAGCTCAACACATTTTTCAGCGGTTCAGTGGTCCAATTTAGATACACACACATTGCAGTGTATTGTGAAGTAGTAATTTTTTGTACCTTTATAAAATATTTCAATGACAATTTTTAAATGATGACTGTTTTTGTATAATTTGTATATTGGTAAAAAAGTTCATCAAAGGTCAGTCAGAAACGCATCAATGTAGGGCAGGATACGGTAAAAATCAGTTGCCATGGATACACAAACGTTTGAATTTGTCTCACGACAGCTCAGAAGCAAATGATAACGGGTTGGAAGGAACATCCCAAACTTCAACACTGATGCAGGATCTGGAAAAAAAGTGACTTTTTAAAGACCTAAATTTGAGACAAAAAAACACATCAACAAAGTTTGATTTCATTCCACATGAAAAGTTAGTTTTGATTTTATGTTAAAATTCACCCCTGAAGACATATTTGAACTCTTCCAATTGTATGGTTGGAATACTTCATTATGAAATTTCAGGGGTGAATGAGTTAAAAGATTTTTTCACAAGATATCGAGTTCTGGTTATAGAAAACAAAAGAACTTCAGTGTGACCGCATAAACCTTGCCATATATATCATTATATGGTATTAACCACCTTTCAGATATCGTGAACTTTAATAATTTACCGAATGTCAATACCTGTGTTATCGGTATCTGATACTTTATATCTGTGTAGCTTCTGGTTGGTCCTTTCTGTGAACTCGGAGAGGGACATGTGGAGAACTTTGACCGACTCAATCCCTGGAATATTTCTACACCAAAAAAAAAAAAATTTTGTCAATCATAATATCTTTATATCATCATAAAGGATGAACACCACTACTGTAATCTTCAAGCTTGTATGAATGCAGTAACGAAAAGATTAAATTAATTTAGTTAATTTTTTGTCAGTATTCTTCAATCTCATATGAAATGAAAACAATGTCAGCGTAATTTTTCTGTCATCAGACATTTCTGTTCAGACATCATTTTAAACTTTATCTATATTTTACTTGTATAAATCTCACCCATCATCCTGGTCATTGTTGTTTGTACACCACTGCCATATAAGGTCAAACAGGTCACTTGCCCCACCCCCTGACAGGTCTGTCTGTAGAGGCAATAGGAAATCCTCCAATGTCAAGGTCACAGCCTCAGTTTGGCACTTGTAGGTCTGCTTTCCATCCAGAAACTCAATCCTGCACATTCGTGAATATCATCTCAGAGGATTACATCAAATATTGTTATGAACTTAAAAATGCAGTGGAACTTGCTGGGTTTTTTTCACCTTCAAAACCTGTATTCTTTTTAACATTCAAATACTTTCAATATGTTTTTTTTTTTTACATTTTAAAGCACAGTGATGTGTATTGGCTGACTTCTTAAACAATAAAAACATATAAAGCATTCTCTTATTAAAATATGAAGACTTAGTTTCAAATGACTTTCTCTCTGTGTCTGATGAGATGAGGTTTAAATATATTTACAACAAAGTTAAAATCAAGATTAACTCTTCTCACAGTTAATGCCAAAGTAAACATCTCTTGAATTATTTATTAACTTTGGGGTCAAAAATTAGGTCAAATCGTTGTAGTTCATCTCCTGACAATCATTTTGTAGACATGGAGTAGACAAAAAGTTAAAAATCTAAGAATGGATTAATCTTTTCCATGTTCTAACAATTTTATCAAAAGTTGACTTAATAAAGGTAACCAACCTGTATAACAAATGAACCGTAAAAACAAACAAACAGGGGAAATTATGCGCCCTCTGAACTTACCACACATGACAATGGCATGGGAGTGGTTTCCTTGGCGATATAGCCAATGTAACTAGGTGACTTTCTGGAATTCATAAAAAATAAAAAATAAATAAAACATTTTCTTGTTGATAATGACCAAAATATTTGTTTTTATCAATATTAATACACACTGTACTAAACAATAATCAAAATCACTTATGTAATAGAATTCTAAAGCTTCACAAGGAAGTACGATTAGAATAAAGCCACAAAGAGACAAATGACAATTACATTTTCTGTTTAAAAGTAGAAGATTCCATTTGCTTAATAAAATAGATTAAATCTTCAGTTACATATTTTTTAATTGTATACATATGATGAAACAATGTTTTTTGAAAATATTTACCTTTCTTTTCTAATCTGGAAATGTGTATATCTGAAATACAGTGTGACAACATATAATATTTAATTCATTAATATACAATATACATGATATGTAACCACGGATAGTAATTTGTGAACCGCTTTGAGACGACCTACGAACTAGGTTGTGATAAAGCGGTATATAAGAACCTCAAATTATTATTATTATTATTATTATCATATGTGTCTTTTTTCATCCATAAAACATTTTCATACAGTAATATTGTTTGTAAATATGGAATGTAAAATCGTTTTTTAACAGGAAAAATACACATTTTGGAAGGTTTTTTAAAAACATGTCATAACTTTTCAGTGCAAAATATTGGGATAAAAATAATTAATAAGTTTAGAGAACCATTTTCTCTTAACTTTAAGGACATATATGCAACCTTACATATACTTTTGTTAGAGATCTCCCTCAACAAGCTTTCTATTCACATTACCATATCTAGTCAATCTGAGTTCCATTGAGAATGATCAATAAAGATATTCGAATTTGTACCTTTAAAATTTATATGGAAAAAAAATATCATTCAAACTATTCATAAAATTATGGAACTCTTCTTGGATGGAGGTGAATTTTCATAGTTAGGAAGCATGCATCCTTAAAATATTTTAATTACCTTTGACCTTTTCCAGTGTATCTTCTGTATCTATGTGGACAGTCACAGCTAATACTTTCTCAAGTTTGTCATTTGTCTGAAACAAAGCATTCGAATTTCTTTTTTTTATAAAATATTTTGATCATTCCTCAGTAATAATATTTCAAGACTGGAAATTACTGTTATACAAAGGTAGCAAATTCTGTACTTCAGCTTTGACATAATAACTGAAAGCACACTTCCTGTGTAGAACAAATGCTATTTTGAACATCCCAATATTCCATGCATTACTCAATACCATCTTCGCTAGCCAAGTGTTTGCTTCGTATACATGCCACTTATTAAGTGGAGTGTTACGAAGCGAACACTTGGCTAGCGAAGATGACTCAATACCAGCATAGCAGTAAGTTACTAAATAGAAAGGATACAAAGCAAAACTGATGAAATGAACTGATGACTGTTTGTAACATCCCATCAGGAAATCAAGTGGGGGAGGGGTCTTTTTTTCTTTTTTCTTTTTTGCATTCTTGTTGAAAGCATAAAAATGTCTTGCACCGTATATCTGATCAATGTTGGTTTTAACCCGTTAAGTTTCGATGACTACTGTAAACATAAAATTGTATTATGCCCTGCTAATTTTTCTGACATTTCCCTTCAAAACAATGTGTTGGTGTAGCTTTAGGCGTGACTAACACTGACCAGTGATAAGCTGTAGGAGGCTGTGAGGAAGCTGGAACATTTCTGTAGTCTCTGTATATAGTCTTCAACAGTACCTGGACACAACAGGAAAAGAAAACGACACCATTAATTCTGGGGCTAAATATTGGGCCAATGAAGTTATCAATAAAAATAGAGTTCTCTAAAATGACTCAATTTCAATTTTGGTGAATTTAAGATTTAACTAAGTTTCAACATATGATATACACTGCAATACTGTTAGGTGTTACATGGAATGGCTAGGTAAGTCTGTTTGGAATGTAATAAGTAAAGCAGTCCTGTATATCAGGGGTTCATGAGATATCTTGCAGACAAACTTTTAACTACCAACAGATGCCACACACATTGATGCATACAGAAACACACAGATGCACAGATAATGATTATTCCATATGTCCCCACTCCTTACGAAGTAGGCCAGAGAACTATAGATGTTTTAAAGAGGAATTAACCACAACTTACCATCTGCTTCTGATTGTTCCTCTGCTGATGCTGTTTTGTCTATTTCTGCTGTCATATCTGTCCTGTTTTCAATAACGGGAAGAATAAGTTCAATTACATTTAAACCTTGCTATGTTGCATAAAACTGACCATGTTAGGTATAGTGCTTGTATTTAAAGGGGCTGGTAGGGGGGAAAAATACAAAATAAATGGGTCTAAATGCGTTTTCTGGCCTTCCAAAAGTTATACCACGGAAATATGATGGTCGAGTTCTGCTTGCAATTTCCAGTTTTGACCACTGAAATCTCGGGGAAGCCCCGCGTATATTTAGCGCAGATCTATTTATATATGTCACGTGGTTGTTTCGAAAGTGAGGCAGTGAAGATAACAACAATAGCACGCCGTCATGTGCCATGTCGGACTCAACTAGCGGACAAGACAGCAAAACTATACGTAAATAATTGTTTTCAAAGGTCATGTATGATGCAAGTGTAGTATTCCTACCTATATGTTGTTGTTATATATAACGGTATTGATACCTCGTGCCTGTCATGACTTTTGCATGCATCTTTTTCTTTCGCCGCGATGTTTACATTTGGCCTTTTTGATGACGCGCGTGCAGTAAAATTACATCACTGATCTGGGTCAATTGAGTGTTTTAGACTGTCAGGTGACGATTTAGGATTTCTTTAATAAAATTATAATTTTTACTCTTAGGGAGTGAATTTCAGCAAAATTTGTATCAGTATATTTCAGAAGAAGGTATTTTAAACATGTGTATGCCATTTTAGCAAATATGACATTTTTTGCCCGACCAGCCCCTTTAAGATTTATAGACATTTTTTTTGTGAAATAAAAATACATGCGAGTTAAATCATTTAGAAAGTCAGTACAATTTGACCAAAATTTTCCCCAAATTATTTTTCTTATTCTCAGTTATCAAACTAATTAAGATGTTCAAATCACTCTCAGCTAAATCCGATTTCTAACCTATCTCCCAACATCTCTAGGGTAGCAGTGTACAGTAGAAATGGCCCGACTCTGATAAACAAGGCACATGTCGAGGAAATGTAAACACAGCGGATTTACCCTACACAACACATGAATACATGAATATATATTTGTAAACTGCATTACATTTACAATACATATAAAGTACTGAGAAGTGTATAAACCTCTTTTTTTGTATGTCACTTGTGTGAAAACCCCGGTTACCACATCAAAAATTACCAAAAAATGCCAAAAATTGCTATTTTTGACCCAAAATTTCACCCCCGCACCTAGTAATTTTTTTCCTAAGTTCTGTCTGAAATTAAAGATTACCTACCTGGTTGCAGAATTATCTGGGTCCCAGTAAAGTTGTAAAACTTGATTTTTTGCAATTTTGCGTCGTGTGCTGTTGTCAAAATTCTACCTCCTGTAAAGCTAGCTTTTCATGTGTAGGCACCCTTTCGGATTATGGCCAAACTTTTATTCTCGAACCAAAAAAATCTTCTCAAAAAAGCTCAGATAGGCCACTTCATCATGCCTATACCAATTTTAGTACAGTTGTATTTTTATAATTTTTTTACATATCATTATACAGGGGTTAGCCATTTAACAAAAATAACACCCATGGCCACAACCCTCTACTGTATACTGCTACCTAGTCTTCTCCCTCCAATGAGTAACCAATATCCGGAATCCTATCCCCCAGGATTCACTAGTCTTACCTGTCCAAGGAGAATATTGGCATGTCCAGCACTATTATCTGACCTTTGTTCTTATCTAGTGCACCTGCAATGTCAAAACATATTTCAGTAAATATGAAAGTTAGTGTGTGTACATGACAGTAAAAATAGTGGTGTATGTATTCAAATCTCTAAAAGGGCCGGTTTCCAAAACGGCCCCTTCTCTGATTCAAATTTCCTGTTGGTGGTGCATTGCCCATGCCGTTGTGGTCACAAATCTATAACGTACAAAGATTTAGGTCACTTGGTTTGTTTTTTATGGCTCCTCAAAGTTGTACCTTTCAGAAGCTGTCTAAGTGTTGATAAAATGTGCATGTTATGTAAAATATTAATGAAAATCTAATCAAATGATGGTCACCGTAAAGAATACATTCATGGCATGATTGTGACAAAAAATCATGTTTCCATCGCGCCATTTGGCTGTTTTATGGAAGAAACAATCTCAAAAATGCCATTTTCGATGATAACATTTTAGACACAAAAACTGTGTTTTTTAGAGAATACACCCTTTTATGGGCGTTGGATGCAAACCAATTTTTATCCTATTAAACAGTACGTAATATGCTATTGATGAGAGGAAAAATCATCAAAATGTAAGTGGTGGAACATTTTCAAATGTTGGGTTGAATTAGCCTATGGTTGAATTGCCGATTTTCGACTTTCTTTAGATAATTAACAAAAAAACGAGAGTATTTGCTCGGTATGTTGAGAATATGTACACAGATATGAAAAAAAGTGAGAGAAACACTTTTTCATAAAAAAAATCCAAGATGGCTACTTCACAAGTCCCCGTGGTTGAAGACATTGGCTGACAAATAGACAGAACAACAAACAAAACGTGTTCCTTATGATTTTGGTTGGTTTTCGCATTTACGGGAGTGTTCATAGCTACGGGCGATTGTATAATACCTATATTTATAAGTTTGGTTAGTCACATGGTAACGGGGATCTTTCATATCGAGCCCCAAACATACTTTCGACATATGCACTCCGTTGCCGCATGGAAAACTATTTCAAGTTTTGTCGGAATTTCTTTACCTGTGGTTGTAATGGTCGAGGGTTTTCCAGCGTCCTGTAATACCCAAGGTAGTACAAGATACTGGAGATGTGCGCACACATTCCCATCGTTCTCTCTCCAACTGGGCACTGGCAGTAGTAGTCCTTTATTGGGGCCTCAACATCGGGTGAAACGGTGAACCGTATCCAAACGTTATATTTCGTTTGGCTTTTGTGTCGAGAATGTATTTGACATCGGAGAAGGTCTGGGGAGTGCTGGTAAAGCCACACCTCATAGTCTCCGTCATCACTTAAATGTTCGGCGATGTAACCAGGAGCCAGAGATATCTGATACGTTCCACACGTAATGGTTCTCAAGTAATCAAGATCGAGACGGGGAAACAGTACGGAAGATGCATCCATCTTGACAAACTCGGACCTTGCCCGTCTAGATAGATCCGGATCTGTCTTGACTCTCTGAGCTAAACCATTCGGTGTTGTCAAACGGTCCTTCATACGTTCAGCCATTAGCCTATCTTTGGCATCTCTCTCTGGAGATCTCTGGTAGATCGGTCCTCTAATACCATTCAGACAGGCTGTGACGGTTCGAAGCAAAGCCTCGATGACATTGATAAAGCTGTTAGACACCAATTGCGTTCGGAAGAACGTCCAGTGTTTCAGACGACCATGATAGGATTCCACAATCCACCTCGATTTGGTGATAGTTCTGTCAAGATTTGCTTGGACGTCAGAATGTTGACTTTGACCGGGTTTCAGGTATGACGGCATGCTAGCATTGAGGCCAGAGGCTTCGAGAACTGGTAGGACATCTCTAAAACCTCGGTCAACGACAACGTTGTCGTCTGGTTGTAGCCAAGTAACTAGCTTGTCCATGACTTTTTTTGTAATTGTAGCATCATTTTCGCTGCCAGTGAATGGTCCTACTGTGTCCAGAATGTAGCCATCTGGTAAGGCGATGCTCATGAATTTGAGATAGTTTCTCTTCTTCTGGCCACAGTAGGACATTCTCTGGAGCTTGTGGTCGGAGCTTTTCTGGATATAAATATAGGTGCCATCTAATATGGCAGTGGCTTTATCTCCAAAAAATGCTTCTGAAAAGACAGTATTGTGCCCGAGCAACTGTTCTCTTGTCAAGTGATCCGGACCTAGAAATTGTGGGACTATCGATGTGTCTAATGCCTGTACTATGGAGTGGAAAGTTTTGGACACACTTGACTTGGAAATTCCAAAAAGAGAAGAACACTGACTCCAGGAAATGTCGGTTTTCAGTTTTACCCAGAACAGTAATAGAGCATCGTGTGTAGTCTTGGTATATATACCAGATGAAAGATATGGGGAACAGTGCGAGTGGATTTCGAGGAACTGATCTTTGGACCAACCTGTCCAGGCCATGCATGCCGAGTCATCAAGAGAAGAAAAGCTTATTGTAAACGCAGACTGGTTCTGTGAAAGGACGTGCGACACCTCTAGGAGGTCATTAATGATTTCGGACGATTTTGATGGTAACTGAGATTCCAAGGAACCTCTACCATCAAGGACAACCTCTGTAGACGGATCTAAGTCGTTACCAATAAGGTGAATGGAGCAGACGCGGGATGAGGTGGGACACCACAGTTTGTGTGAATAGATCAGGTGATGTCTTGCACGTTTTGGTAAGACTGATGATTTTGTTCCATTTCTTGCAAAGGTAACAAGACAGAGACAGCATTTTTTGTGTGAAGATGATCCATTCAAAAGATCATGAAGGGTCAGCAACGGCAGGATATGGGACGGGGAGTCGTCTTCTTCCTCTATTTCCTGGTTCTGCTCGGGTTCAGGTTCAGGCTGATTTTTGTTCCGAAGATACTTCATGTAGCACTTCTGGCAAATAAGTGCTTGTTCCTTTGCTGACATCAATCCTTGTTGCACCAGCGTATCTAGGAGCCATTTATATTGTGGACTATTTACATTGCGTGCACTTCTGTTCTTATTGCCACTACGTTTCTTGAAGTATACTTGACACCCTTCTCCAACACATTTACCCTCCATCTTGAAACAATAACGATTGGTTTATGAAGCGTCGATAAAGTAACAAAATAGCAAGCCACCGATGATTGCTGTAAACAGCTAATACTTAGTAGTTTGGTACAATTATGCGAAAATGTGTGATAAATAACGAACAACTAATTACACAAAATAACAAGACAATATAATAAATCACATTCAATACCTCCAAGAAGCGCAGAATTGATTGATTACTTAGAACAAAATAAAGTATTTCATATGGATAATCTATCTATTCGATGTGGCGTGGTCGGCAGGCACAAAGAAAGTGAGACAAGTCAGGGTCCCAACCCTGACAGAGCCACAACGCTTTGGAGATGGGACAATAAAACAAGGAAAGTGAGACAAGAATAGCTAGCGTCGAGTCAATGATTCCGTAAACGTATAGACAAAGACAAGAAGATACGGATAAATGTACAAGGCCACACGATCAGAAAATTCAGAAGAGGACAACTTGAGATAGAACAGTATTCATGTATCAGGGTGTCCTCAGTGTAAATCTTTATATCGATACTGTTTATTTAGTCGTTACACATCATAAAACTGTCATGAAAATATCCGCTCTGATATTCAATATAAAAGTTTGTATATAATAAGCTATATAATAGGGTTTCAGACAAGGTTGTTACTCATTTCCCCTTTTCTTTCAATTTACAACCACATTCAGGCGGCGATATGAGAACGTTCCACCACATGGAATTAGCTGATTTTTGGTACACATATGAAACAAGTAAAGCTCTATCCGATTTTCTGATGGAAATTTGCATCCAAAACTATATAACGGGAGAAAATTGCAATTTTATGGCATTTTTCTTCATAATTGTGTCTCTGCAAGTGCATTTTCATCCGAGAATATTTTTTTTTTTGTTTTATGAATAAACACGATGTTTTGGAAATATTTATCAAAAGAAATTTATACTATGTTGCGAATTACAATTTCGAGATAACCTTCTTTTATTTACGAACTTATGTCTTTGATGCTGAAATTGACAACTTTATAAAAATACATTTTCACTGAAATTATGAAATCTGGGTGTCGGAAAGGTGTAAAATTATTCTTCGGAAAAGAAAAAAACAGTAGTTGAGCTAGATAAGAAATTATACGGGGGCAGGCTCCTATGGAGAATTAACATTACTGGAAACAGGCCCTTTCAGGATAAGTCAACTCGCTATCTTTTTGGAAAAGTCATCTGCATTGAATCTATCCGTTAATATCACAACCTTGTGAAGGAGTTAACAAAAGTTTACCTTTGACGTTTTGATGAGGTTAATGAAAGCTTACCCTTGGCTTTTTTCAAGAGGTTAAAAGCTGACCCTAACTTTATGAAGAGCCAAATTTTACCAGTTCTTTTCATTCTTTGGGTTTAGTACTTAACGCTTTTAACCTCTTTATGCATAATATTGTTGGCAACAAGATTTCTGACACCTATCCTAATTACACATGCAAAATATGAATTCAATTATAGAAATAACTATATGTTAGTAAAATATCTGTAAAACTATATTTATGTTCCAGCACCAAGCTTAAAGCTGATAAATAGCTTTAACATTTCATACAATCATATTATCATTGCTTTATAATGAAAACCTCAAAATTTGCAGGTTTTTGCATCAGGAGTCGAGGATTTTTAAACCTTCAGCATACATGTACCATTAAGTTTGATGCAGTACAGCACATCTAAATCTCACAGACACTTTGGAATAATATTATCAATAGAAAAATAAACAAATAATATACCTGGTAGTATTGTCGACAATGCTTCATGAACACTTTGAGCCCTGGACATGGTTCGGAGCAGTCCTCTGATCTGTAGGTAAATATATCAATTAACACACTGCTCAACAAAAACAGGGGTCTTTATCAAGTAAGTGAAAACTGATGTAGTAGGGAACTTATTTCATTTCTCATAAAGCCGAGTGTCTCATCAGGATATCTTTGCAATGTCTACCTATTTATGGTACAGTGGTCATCTTCTGCCATTTTGCTGGACAAAGGTCAATCAAAAACAAAAGAAATACATATACATTGTATATAAGGTGCTGTGCTTTTTTTGTCCTGGTCAAAATTAAATATGTATTTTATGGAACATGAACGTAATTGTGTGAACAGTACAACCGCCTGCACATCACACCCATAGATTAACAAATGTACGTTTATGTAGCCGGGACAGATGCAAGAAATAAGTTTTCAAATTGAATTGATAAACTACAAATATTTCTAATTTTCATAAATTGATTTTTTTTTGTGTGTACTTATACATGTACAACTGATGATGTCAGTGGCAATAAAAGATTCTTGTTGCTGGTTCTACTGAGGAAATTCCACCGACTGCCTTCCCCAAATTACAAAACCCAAGGTTCATCAGAACATTATCTGCTTTCTGATATAGGTTATACAAAATGTATAGGCACCTCATCATGAAATCGTTAAAGCATCACTGTCAACGTGATGTGAGAGTGTGACCTCGACTGATATAGTGTACTGTACCTTCTCATCCGTAGAGGATGTGAGCAGAGCATACAGGAACAAGGATTTATCACGAACATCCATGTCTCGGTAGTATGTCATCATGTAGAACAGCAAGTCACCGACAGCTGTCAATAAATCATCAAAAACATTCATTGTTTAGCTTTGATAACAAACAGGAATATACTATATTCTTTAAAATCCCCTGGTAAAAAATCCAACATATTTCATACTTCAAAATTGATTTCCTTTATTTATTTAATTTTTATCAGAGGTTGATCCAGAATGGGTTGTGGAGCTTCAGGAATATCCTCTCCTATACTCCTAGTCCGCTAACTTTCTTTCAAAACCAACTATTTTTCACAACATTTAGAAACAACCTCAGATCAGTATCTAGATCTGCCACTGCCTTTTCAGTCATTTGATAAAATTTAAACATCACAGACTGTGATTTTTTGCACAAAACACAAATATAACAGTGCACAATCAGTGCAGTATTCTGTGACACATGTACAGTATGTGTATCCAGTTTATAAAAAAATCTTTTCACAATAAAAAATATAATGAGTCTAACATTGAATTTCTTTAAGTGTATTCATTTAAAACAAAATTCTATAATTTATCTAAAATTTGTCATATTGTTAAAAAATGAGTACCTTTTTGCTAACACAGAAATTTTTCGCTTAAAATTCCATTTTCAATTCCATATTTGAACCTCACGGATGATATGGGAGAATATGGAATGTTTAAATGTTTAAATGAACAAATTTGGAAATATTTCTGTACATGTACATTTCAAATTTCAACACAACACAATAAATTTTAATACCTGAAATAACTTGAGCATGTTAAGTTATCTGCCTAGGAGTTTTTTGTTGATTTTGACAAATGAACTGAAAATGGGACATTTAATATGTATCAACCATGCAATTGTTGAAGGCAGCAAGCTCTCAAATTTCATCTTCACTGACATATATATTAAATTTGAGTGTCACCACAGGTAAATTTCCAAGTCAGTGGAAAATTTCAAAAGTTATTCCACTTCATAAAGGTGGAGCAATGACTGACATTTCTAATTATAGACCAGTGTCTATTTTACCAGTTTTATCAAAAATTTTAGAAAGACATATTCATAATAGTTTTTATAAGTATATTAATGAACATAATCTTCTTGTTTCCTCACAGTCAGGGTTCCGTAAGCATCATTCTTGCGAGACTGCCTTACTCAGTATTGTTAATAAGTGGGCAAAGGAAATTGACAAAGGAAATGTCAATGGTGTTATTTTTATAGATTTTAAAAAAGCCTTTGACATGGTAGATCATGAGGTTTTAATTCAAAAGTTAGCCATATATCAATGTGACAAATTATCTTTGAGCTGGTTTCAATCTTATCTCTCTCACCGGTTTCAAAAAGTGACAGTATCTAATCATATTTCTAAAAGTAATCAAATTACTCATGGTGTTCCACAGGGTTCCATAATAGGTCCCCTGATGTTTCTTATTTTTATCAATGATTTACCTCTTGGGCTAAAATCAGGTACAGATATGTATGCTGATGACTCGACTCTGAGTGCATCTGGAAGTTCTATTTCTATTGTACAGGATGAGTTACAAGCTGATCTGAGTAAAGTCCAAGACTGGTGTAATGAGAATAAAATGATTCTAAATAGGAATAAAACGAAATGTATGGTTATTGCCACAAAACAGAAACTTAACAGAATAGATGATGCTCTAAGCCTAATATTAGATCAGGAATGTATTGAACAAGTAAAGAGTGAAAAACTCCTTGGTGTAAAAATTGACAACAGTTTATCTTGGTTAGATCACATAGCATCTGTTGTTTCAAAGATTAACAGTGGTTTGGGTTTACTTCGACGCATCCGTCAATATTTACCACTTTCAGCTAGACTTAAATTTTTTCACGCATGTATTTTTCCCCACTTCATGTACAGTAGCACAGTATGGAGCGGATGCTCTTTAAATCTTCTACAAAAACTGTCAAAAGCGCAGAAACAAGCTGCAAGATTACTGTTGGATGCTCCATTTGATACACCATCAGTAGAAATGTTTTCTTCATTAGGGTGGTTACCAATTGGCGAATATTTGAAATTCAAAAGAGGTGTTATGGTGTACAAATGTATAAATAATCTAGTTCCAGGATATCTTTCTAATCAATTTAATTTGTCTAACAACAGATATACTAGATCAGCATCCCAAAACTCTGTCAAGGTACCCAAACACCGTACCACATTTTATTCCAAACACTTTTTGGTACAAGGGAGCCAGATTTGGAATAATTTACCGGTTGAAGTAAGACTCTCTTCCTCCTTGACAAAACTCAAACAAAATATGATTGGTAACATTAAGAATGCGGTTTAATTGTCTTTTATTTTTACTATTATACTTTTTAGATACAGCTTTGATTTGTTTTATTTTCGCTATATTAGCGTGTATTCTGTCAATTTTTAGCTTTTGCTACATTAGCATATATGTAAATTAGACAATTTGTCTTTTAATGAAAACCATAATGGGTTAAGCACGGAATATATTTCGTGCTTCTGTGATAATTTTATTGTAATTGTATTGAACGACCGTTTAAATTATGAAATAACTGTGATATGAATTGCTGTTTTAGTAGACCAACAATTATTTTATGTACATTTATTTGCTGTGATACTACTTTGTCTTTTAACTAACCAATTTTACTAACAGAGGACCCTGTGGAAGATTAGCTTTGCTAAACAGGTTTTGTATCCTCAATAAATAAAGTTTATTACTATTATTATTATTATTATTATGCATGTACTTAATGCCAGAAAATTACAGTAACGAATTAAGACATCATGGCAAAAACTACACTTTGTACTACCATATTTCTGTTCAGTGTCTTTCTCTCTGAATCAAATTACATGAATCAGCAGCACGTCGAGAAATCTTAAAACGCTAGTTTTTTTCTTTGCGAAATTGCGTGGGACATAATGTGTAACAACTTACCAAGGTACAGATCCTCTGTGCCGTGACACACCAGTAGATTTTGAATGACTGACAGAATCCCGTTACCTAGTAACCAGCTACCGTCATCTATCATGATGGAATGTTCCGCCAGGTAGCTCAGAAACTTCACTGTGGACTACAAATCAAACACTCGGACCGATATAATTTACTTTTACTGTTTTATATTATGATAAAACTTCAAAATATTTTCTAGTACATTATTTGTCAAGGATTCCCAAAAGTGACCATTTACAACAAATACAATAATTGGCTGCAAAATATACCAAACTAAGCAAAAACAAAAGTACAGAAGAAGTGACAGTTGCTGTCTATATATGGAGTCTGCCATAAAATAAAAAAATAGTTTGAAAGATAAATACACCCCTTTGGCAAAGCCTTGTAATATATGTCACAAATATAGCCATTTTCTATTACTTTTATCAGTTTCCTTTTTACATAGTGTACACAAGTAGAGATATAAGTTCTTTTCATATTGCTGGAAAATTCGTTAAATTAAAGTTCTTACAAAAATATATCTCTTTTGTGGTATGAAGGTATGATAGTTGTATTTCTATATTTCATGCAGATTCAAACACAGAACCTTGAGGTTGTACATTTCACAATGCACAAAAGAGGCATTTTTATCCATTTTGCATTCTGACCTTTGGCTCAATCTCAGTCCGCAGAGAAGCACTCTTCATGACCTGGAGGTAGAAATAGAAGTAAGCTGCAGCCTGGTCCTCGGGTGTGGTTACAACCTGGTGGTGTAGCAAACTCAGTATCTCGGTGTACACAGGGCTGTGAAATATATAAGAATTGTACACTTCAAGCTACTTTGAGCATTTTGGATTTCACTAGTTTTTATCAATAGTCGACAAAAAATAAATTACAATGAAATCTGTCTAATCCAACACTTTGTTGGATCAAATTAATTGAATGAAATTTCACAGAATGTCAGAATCCACAGGTTTTATTTGAAATATTTTGAAAGAAACTGGATTGCAACCAAGTTATTAAGAGAATCATGTTTATATAGTCAGATTTAAATCCAACCTTCACCTGTGAAGGCCGGAACAACTGAACAAGAAAATACTTGTAAACATACATATGCCACTGCTCCAACTGTTATGAAAATAGGCTTTAATCAAAAAGTCTTCCCAATGTCATGATCAAGTGACGTGAAAAATATAGGTCACTGTGACCTACATTTAATATTCTGGTCAATTACTCTTCAAGGTATATCATTTGGTGACTCTAGGCCCCATACTGCGTGTCCGGTTCAACCAGTTGAAACGGTTGAACCTTAAAGAAAACGACAGGCGCAAATCTGAACCAAGGCTGACCTCAGGAATATTCAGCACGTGTAGATTGAGGGGTCCAGATGTGCCTGACCAGAACTAAATTGCTAACCATTGCTAGTTTGTGTTGTTTCTTTATTAAACAAGGTCAATCCACATGTAGATTTTAAGATACGTTCTATAAATTAGTAGATGTGTAAAAGAAAGACATTTATTCTTGATATACTGTTATTTATTCTGTGAAACTGCATTTTAAGCTCTGCCTACAGTTCGGTCCAAGGTCCACCTGATCCGTTTCAACTGGGATATGTGAATGCCACCCTAGTGTTAGAGAAATGGAGCTAGCTAGCATCAAAGTCAAGCCAAGATGTCATACATGCACATCTAACAGAAACCAAGGAAGAGATATCCTGCATCCCATATTAGTACTTTAGACAAAAAATACTCACCTGTCAGGTGTGGTGTTCCTCAGACATTCGATGAAGTCCAAAGCGTGTGGTATGAAGTATGGGAACCCAGAGATAAGGCCTCGCAGAAACCTGATAGCAACAGAATTTGTCACAATCAAATAAAATGTCATCAGCAAATGTCAAGCATGTTGAGTACAAATTTGAACCATGCATTTGACATTTTATAAGACATTTAAGCGATTAACATAACTTTTTCTCTCAACAAGGTGAAACACGGTATAACTACTCTTTAGATTTTCATAAAAAAAACAATCCTTAATTTTGTTTTGGATATAACTGTAGTGGAACTTGGCCAGAGAATCTCTTACAGTGACAGTATTGTAACCTGAGGTTCAGGGTTCGAATCCTGGTCTGGTTCTATTGCAGTTTTACTCTCGGAACACAGTTGATCATTTTTTTCATTGTTATTTCATCTTGATTATTTTTATGAAAGTTCTGCATGATATAGTTCTCCTTTCAGAAATAATTATTAAATCTATTGCCATGCCAGGACAACAAAGTCCAATACAGTTTTCTGGTAGTGTTACAAGGATCTTTTAACAAAGAATTATATAAACAATCATTTTTAGAAGCAAAACATTTTAGTAGCGAAACATATGTGGCAGAAGCTTCTACCCACCGGTTGATATCCTGGGAGAAGGATTTACTACAGTGCCTCTGATACATGTGGAACAGAGCACGGAACAGCACCACGGCCACACGGTCACTTCCTGTGTGCCACACCAACTTGTGGAGGTATCCCACACTGCCTAGCAACAGTGCTGCGGCCACACCTAAACATATTTTTGTCGTAGAGTAGGAATTTTAACAATACATGCATATTTTTTTATCCTGTGCTATACCTACTCTACGTAAAACTAAGAGTGTAACAATATGTACATTATACCATAGCTGTCAACCCCCCCTCATTAGGAGGGTGACTCCCTCATTTTAACCAAAATTTACCAATCTCCCTAAAAAAATCCTTCATTCAAGTCCAAACTCACACAAACTCAAAATCTGCATTCTGTGGTCAAATGATCTCCTAGTAACTGCAGGGTGTGTGTAATGATCATAACAGGTGTGTCTGAATTAAATGAATGTTTTTTTGAAGTTATTTTGTTACATAAAAAGGGAAAGGTAAATTGAGCAAAGCAGTTTCATTCGCATTTCAAGCACTTTCTCCCTCATTGGAAATGTGGAATGAGGGAGATCACCATCATTGGAGGTTTCAGAGGTTGACACATATGTTTCACNCTGCTGTTCAATCCTATTGTTTACTCAATAAAATATGATGAAATGTTTCACACTAGTTTTGTTAGAAAAAAGGCTCCTCAGATGCACATGTCATGTGACAGGATTTAACTGGTCTTGCTCATGTATCTAGACAGGTTTCTTTGTCAGTCTACAGATCAATCATTTTAAAACAGTACTACATGTACTGTAATTCAGTGGTACACACATACCACGAGGTGCCTTGATCAACTCACCACTTGGTTCCTCTGGTAAAGGAGGGAAGCACAGATTAAAAAGACAGAGCTTGGCAAGCTGGCAGTCTGGAGGATCAAACACACTGGGGAAGAAGCACAGTCTATACCTCTCGGCCATCACTGTGGGTAACAGGTAAGTACCTTCATCACACGACTGGAATAGATTACAAACTCTCACAAACATTTCTTAATAACATGTGGAACAGGGCCAAATATGGTATCTTATTTTCAATTTAAAACCTGCTGTGTACCATACCAGTTTACCAGAGGAGTACAAGAAATACAAATTGCAAGAATGACTACAGGAAAATCTATTTCAGTGGGTGATACACCAAGAACATGAGTGTCCAGCAATTTTAATTTTGTAAACGATTATGGCATGAGGATCTCAAATGTTTCCCTGTTATGACCCAGGGAGATAGTCTCCAGGGGTTGGTCTGGACCTCCAACTAAATCTGGTAGCATGAATGTTTTCACTTCTTCATGCCTAGAAATTGCATATTTGGTTATATCGAGGGGGGGGGGGGGGGGGGGGGGGAAGGATCCCTCAATTCATATGGAAGGTAAAGGATTTTATTGATTTATCTCAGTTTCCCCCTATTGGGCCACACCCCTCCGCCCCCTGGGGGTGGGAGGCACACCCTCCATTTATACAAAATTAACCTGTCTCTGCCTGCAGATTCTCGTGACCAAAGTTGGTTAAATTCCCTCCATTTGTATAGAAGGAGAAAGATTTGAAAAATTGATACCTTTATTTACGATATTTGGCCTCGTCCCTCTGCCTTAAGAGGGCTACACCCTTCATTTATACAAAATGTAGTCCCCTTTGCCTACAGATGATCTATAACGAATTTGGTGATAACCCCTCTATTCACACAGAAGGACAAAACTTCCCTCTGTCCCTAAAGGGGGTCACAGCCTCAAGCTATACAAAATTCAGTCTTTTAACCCTAAGGATGCTCCAGACCACCTTTTGTTTAAATCCCTTCATTTGTACAGTAGGAGAATGATTTTCCTCTTTTTTCCCTTATTGGGCCCTGCTCCTCTGCCTCAATGGGGGCCACACCCTCTGTTTATATAAAATTGAGACCCCTTTGTCCAAAGATGCTCTAGGACAAATTTGGTCAAAATCCCTCCATTGGATGAGAAGGAGAAGATTTTTTAAGATTTATCTCTTTTTCCCCTATTTGGCTTTTACTTTCATATTAACTGATCATGAATCTGTATTAACAGACCAACTGTCATGAGTGAACTTCGACCTGAATAATTATGTGATTTTGTCCTCAAAATATCCCATAGCACATGCACTTTCTTGCGCTAGTTCATTAGTGTGTGGAAATTTATAAAACCATTGTTGACCTTGACATTGGAGTAACCAATATTTTAAGGTGCCATGCTTACCAGTGAGTGATGTCTAGTCCAGTGACACACAAACAGTCTGTGGGCGGGGCTTAAAGATGGATGACTGATAGATGTAAGGAGTCTCTGTATCAACTGCTTCTCTTCCCCTTCAGTCAACACCTCCTTCTCAAACTCTCTCTACATACAAATAGAAATGAGATTCTTGCAATTCTGTACAACACTATGAAATCACAATCAAAATGATAATGAAGCAATCACTTAAACATACAGGTGAACAATAGTGATTTGTACTGAAGCTATAGTCAACTTTGATTATTTCTACCTTTGACCCCCGAGTTGAGAATCCCAATACTTAATATAGTGGATACTTATAAGCTCCATGCTTTATGAGACATCTGGGGATTGAATGTTGAAGGGGTGTTTTGTCATAGAAAATAGGCAGGCAAATCGAAGTCAGCTGAGCAAAAACCGCCAAACAAATTGTAACTCTTCTTCGTTGGAGATACAACAGTGCTCTGTGTTTCTCTTCTTTAATGCCAAGTTATTTATGCTTCCATGGTGGTTGATTTCAATGTATTTTGAAGCAGACATTTCATAGTTCCATATACTCTGACAAAGTGAGGGTCTACTTTTATTCAAGCGGACATCTTATAGTTCCAGATATTCACCATAGCAGTTTCTACTGTAATCAAGAGATTGACTAACTTAAGCAGTTTATGTGTTTTTTGTAAATTGCTGGTTTTAGCCATCTGATACTGGAATGACAAAATCATGGCTATGCCAGTTACTTATATAAATGAATAGTCCATTATAATTATTCATGCAAAGGATTCCACGCCATTTTCCATGATCAAAATTTGGTCTTTTCCCTATGAGATTCACCGTGGGATTAAGACATTTTTCCCTGTTTGAAAAAAATACCAAATGAATATATCCGATTTTAGCATTTTGTAAAAAAGTTAAGTTCTGTATTTCTGTGTTTTTCTTGCTGCTGTACAATAGATAGAAATTATGTAACAGATGCAGGACGGTTGCTTTACAAGAATCAGTGCTGAATGAAGTAGTATTACCTGTAGGTATAGGACAAGGTGTAAAGTGGAGATATCCATAGTGGCCATGTGATGTAACATCAGTGGCTTGAATATCTGAAAGGAAAATAAAAAGTTTAAAACACATACCTTAGTAGCTCGCTTAACAGACATAGTCATCCATGACGTCAAAAGAGTTGAAATTATGTTGTGAATATTTAATGATGACCAATTTTTATATGACACTACCAGTAAAATATTTTCAAAGAAAAGCAATACATGTACACATAAATTAAAGAATGTATAGCTATGTTAGTCTGAATTCTGTGGTTTCCCATAAAAGTTCAGTACACAAAACTCGATTTTTTAACAAATGAAACAATAGATACCTCTGAAATGGAAATTATTTCCAAAATATAAGCATCCGAGAACAACTTTCCCACAGCTAGTTTTATTGGTCAGCATGTACACGGAGAGCAAGTTTATCTCAACATTCTGTACTAACCATGGCAGACATCTCTGGTAGATTGTGGATGAAGTTGACCAGTGATAAGACAATGTGCCACAGTCCACTGGGCGTGAGCACTGCCACGTTTTCCATCACCATGGATACCATTTGACGCATCTCCTGGGGTTCAGAGGAAAACTGTCGATCCAGTTTCTAATAATGAAAAATAGAAAAAAAACATTTTGTTTGCATTAGGTATTGAAATTTGGTCATTAGGAGAAACTTAAGAATTAATTATCTTAATGATTTCTAAATCATACAGTTTAACATCAAAATAATTGCAACACAATAATATACATCTATAACAGAAGAAAAAGGTATTACCTGGTACATAATCAATTTTTGGGGAATGTTTGTATCCCCTTCTTTGGATCAACAAGAGGCCCATGGGCCTTAACGGTCACCTGATATATTTATACAGAGAGTTGATTTTGTTTTTAACATGAACAGAAATATTATTCAAAGTGACAAAAAACAATAAAACCACCTTACTCAATATCTAGCATACAGATTTCAGACTGAAAAGGATTTGAAACTAGCACCTCTGATTCTTAACAAGGAAAATGAAGAAATTTTAGCACACTGACTCCTTTGAGCCCCACCCTACAGCCCTTGGGGGTAGGGCTGGCTCAAAATTTTCAAAGTATCAAACTGTCAATTCAAGGTTATAATTCCAATCAAGTTATTAACATGTAATATTCAAAGTATCATTTGCCATTATAAACCATAATAAATTTTGCCCCCCCCCCCCCCTTCCCCAGGGGGTAAACGTGAGACCCTAGGGTCATAAACCTTAAGACCCTTCCATCTATGAAGAGTATTTGATTCTACCATATCTGGGTCTTGAGAAGAAGATTTTTGAAATTTCAGTAAATTCGACCCTTTTTGGCCCCACCCATCAGCCCCTGGGGGTCAGTCAGGGCTGATATGTGCTTATTATCAAACTGCTACCTAATACTGATAATGCTAACCCAAATTGAATTACTTCCAATGGAAATTAAACAAATGTTGGTCCAAAATGTGATTTCCCTATATAAACTATAGTAAAGTTTACCCCCTCCCCAGGGGGAAACGTGAGACCCCAGGGTCAAGAAATTCACAATTTCGGTAAAGCACCTTAAGACCCTTCCATCTATGAAGAGTATTTGATTCTACCATATCTGGGTCTTGAGAAGAAGATTTTTGAAATTTCAGTCAATTCAACCCTTTTTGGCCCCACCCATCAGCCCCTGGGGGTCAGTCAGGGCTCATAGGTGCATACTATCAAACTGCTACCTAATACTGATAATGCTAACCCAAATTGAATTACTTCCAATGGAAATTAAACAAATGTTGGTCCAAAATGTGATTTCCCTATATAAACTATAGTAAAGTTTACCCCCTCCCCAGGGGGAAACGTGAGACCCCAGGGCCAAGAAATTCACAATTTTGGTAAAGCTCCTTCAGACCCTTCCACCTATGAAGAGTATTTGATTCTACCATATCTGGGTCTTGAGAAGAAGATTTTTGAAATTTCAGTCAATTCAACCCTTTTTGGCCCCACCCATCAGCCCAAGGGGGTCAGCCAGGGCTCATAGGTACATACTATCAAACTGCTACCTAATACTGATAATGCTAACCCAAATTGAATTACTTCCAATGGAAATTAAACAAATGTTGGTCCAAAATGTGATTTCCCTATATAAACTATAGTAAAGTTTACCCCCTCCCCAGGGGGAAATGTGAGACCCCAGGATCAAGAAATTCACAATTTCGGTAAAGCACCTTTAGACCATTCCATCTATGAAGAGTATTTGATTCTACCATATCTGGGTCTTGAGAAGAAGATTTTTGAAATTTCAGTCAATTCAACCCTTTTTGGCCCCACCCATCAGCCCCTGGGGGTCAGTCAGGGCTCATAGGTGCATACTATCAAACTGCTACCTAATACTGATAATGCTAACCCAAATTGAATTACTTCCAATGGAAATTAAACAAATGTTGGTCCAAAATGTGATTTC